GGGATAGGGATAGGGATAGGGATAGGGATAGGGATAGGGACAGGGGAGGCAGGGGTGACAGGGACAGGGATAGAGATAGAGATAGGGACCGGGATAGGGATAGGGATTACGACAGGTATAGGGACAGAGATAGGGACAGGGACAGGGATCGGGATAGGGATAGGTATAGGGATAGAGATCGGGATAGGGATAGAGATAGAGACAGGTACAGAGACAGGGATCTTGACTGGGACAGGGACAGAGACAGGGACCGGGACCGGGACAGGGATCGGGATGGTGTGAGGGATAAGGATCGGGATAGAGAGAGGCTCAGGAGGGAGAGGGACAAGTTAGGGAGCACGACTGGGGCTAAGAAAGAGGGCGGGGGGCTGGTACGGCATCGTTCGGCAGATATTGGAAAGCTGGTGTCGGTTGGAAAGGACGACGACAGGCCGGACTTCCTCAAGAGTCCGACGAGCAGATCGAGATCGCGGGGAATCCAACGGTCACCATCGCCTCCTGATAAAGGCCGGGATAGGGATAGGGATCGAGACAGAGATAGAGACAGGTTTCGGGACAGGGACAGGGAGAGAGACAGAGACAGAGACAGGGGAGGGAGGGGAGAAAGGGACAGGGATTGCGACAGAGACTGGGATAGGGATAGGGATAGGGACCGTGACAGGGACAGGGATTGGGACAGAGACAGAGACAGGGATAGAGATAGGGATCGGGATAGGGATAGGGATGGTCGGCGTTCGGGTGTGCGTCGTTCCCCCTCTCCTGAAAGCGTTCGAGGGGAGAAGGATAGGGGGAGGGGGGACAGAGACAGGGACAGAGACAGGGACAGAGATAGGGACAGGGATAGGGATAGGGACAGGGGGGATAGGGACAGAGATAGGGATAGGGATAGGGAGAGGGAGAGGGATGGAAAGGAGAAGGACGGGGAGGAGGCGAGGAAGAAGGGAGAGGAGGATGAGCCGGTTCGGCCGAAGCAAACGTTGCGGCGCGGGCTTTCGTCTGCTAGTGTGTCCTTCGACCCGGAGGTTGATGGTGTGGAGAAGGGAGGAGGGGGAGAGGCGGGGGAGAAGGAGAGGGAGCGAGGGAGGGAGGGCAGGGAGGGCAGGGAGGGCAGGGAGGGCAGGGAGGGCAGGGAGGGCAGGGAGAGTCGCAGCGGGGGCAGCTCGAAAGCTAGGGACTTGGAGCGATCTCCTTCCCCTCCTCCCGCTTCCTCTGGCGCTCCTGGTGCCGCCAGCGACGAATCACACGACGAGAAGGACGGCGCTGGTGGCGCTGCTGCTGGTGGTGGTGCTGATGATGATGGTGGAGCAAGGGGGGGAGCAGGAGGGGGAGTGAGGGGCATGTCTCGGGGATCGGATAAGGCCAAGAGTGCAAAAGAGCGTCTGGAGGGGAACAGCTTGTTCCGGCACAAGTCGACCAACGTGTCGGCTCTTGTTCCAGTCCGAGACGGGAGAGATGGGAGGGACGGGAGGGAGGGGAGGGACGGAAGAGATGGGAGAGATGGGTCGGCAAGAGGCAGTGGGGGAGCGAGGCCTGTTTCTCCTCTCTTGGAGGATTCTTCTCGCTCCCGTTCGTCCAATCGGGGAGGAGGGGCTCCGCCGTCCCCCACAGCCAGTGTGAGCAGCCGAGCGGGCAGCGGAGGCGGGGGCGGCCGGCGAGTCTCGGCTACTAATGGGCTGGTCCGGCGGAAATCGGCAGATGTGGGGAAGTTGCTGGATGATTTGGGCGGCGACGGGGGGAAGGATGCGGGGCGGGACGGGGCGGAGAGCACGAGCAGCGGCGGGCGGAAGTCGGCTGCTTCTGGCAGCTCGTCTGCTTCTCGGAGGCGGCCGAGTCGGGATTTTGACGACCTGGCGCGGACGGGTGGGGTCGTCTTTTCTGTGTCTGCGGGCGGTGGACTGAGTCCCCTCAAGGCGCCTAAAATGGTGGCGCCGTGGAAGGGAGATGAGGATGGGGAGGAGGATGGAGAGGGAGGAGCAGGGGGGTCAAGGGAGAGGGGTAGGGCAGCTGCGGATAGGAGTGGGGGGAGGGGGGGTGGAACAAGCAGTGGTGGGAGAAGAGGAGGGAGGGGGTGGGACGATGAGTCAGATAGGGAGAGGGAGAGTGACAGGGATAGGGACAGAGACAGGGACAGGGACAGGTATGGCGAGCGTGATTATAGGGACAGGGACAGGGACCGAGACAGGGACTGGGACAGGGATAGGGACAGGGACAGGGATAGGGAGAGGGAGAGGGAGAGGGAAGGGGGAAGGAGCCCTTTGCCTAGAAACTCATCTCGGTCGTCCGCTGCTGCTGGCGGTGGTCGATCCAAGGGCTCTGGTGGACTTGCAAGGTTGAAATCTGCTGACGTGTCTATGATGCTCAAGTGATGGATCCGTGATTCTGTGGGGTGGTGGTGGGTCTTGCAATGTTGAGATTGGCAGATTTGTTGGCATGATGACGTCAATGATGGCATGCATGAATGGGAAGGAGTGATGCTAACATTTTAGGATGCATGATTCTTTGTTCTGATTTTGTAACTCTGTAGACTGATCTCTTGTTGCTTACCTAACATCCCTAATTGAGCTTACTCTAGAGCCTGTCAACTGTTGGCTCTAATTGAAGACTCCTTGCTTACTTCATCAGCACAATGCGGTGATGGAATATGTGTGCTGTACATAAGGAATGACTATATGATAACCAGCAACACTACAATCGAGAATCTTGTATGCTCACATTGCCGCCGCTATTTTCATGTACCCTCTGCCCTGCCCCATAACTCAAAGTTCCCAGAGAGCCGATTATTCCCACTAGGGTTGTGAGCGCGTGGCTGGCACACTTTGGTTACTTAGTAGTACACGTCGGGTAAAAAACATTCAAATTGTTGCTGTCGTTACATCTCGGCTGATCCACTTTCCGGTTTATCCATACGCGACCCGGAATGGTCTCGTCCGCGCGATTCTCCCCTCGGCCAGACCCTTCAGTTCCGCGACCTTCGCTTCAGCGGCCTTCAGTGCAGTCACACTCTGCCTGTACTCCTCCTCCATACGCGTTACAGTAGATTCCAGATTTCCCTCGTAACGATGCTCGGAATGGAGTTCCGCTGCTGCAATCTTCCGCTGGTTCTTCGCGCGCGCGTACACTTCCCGAAGCTCTTCCGCGCTCTCCTTCGATGCTTCCGCCAGCCTCTCCGCCACCGCCAACACTTGCGATAACTCCGCGCGCCTGCTTTCCGCCCACCAGAGCGCCAGCTTCCCCTCAATCGATCTTGTAGTTCCCGCCGTCCTCGCTGCTTGCGCAGCCGCAGCCGCTGCTTCATCCACGGCGCGCCGCTTTTCTGCCGCGAAAGCGACAGCTTGCGCCAAGAACTCTTCCGCGCGCTTCAGGTCCGCGGAGCGGTTGCTTGCTTGTTCCGCCGTACGTGCGGCATCCGCGTGTACGGCTGCGTGCTCGCGCTTCGCTACTTCCGCCTGGTGGCGCGCCGCGGAGAGATCCGCGCGCAATGCCTCCGCGCGGAGTCTTGTCGCCGCAAGAACCTTCATCGCACCTTCGTAATCCGCGCGGCCTTCCGCAGCAGCTTCCGCATCGGCGGCGGCCGCGTACATTGCAAAATTCAGTGACCCGACATCCTCGTTTGAAGCGGAATCGCTTGTACGCGTAGCGCTTCCTCGGAGAAAGCTGAAAGCGAAGCAGGCGAAAAGGAAAATGGAGAAAATTATTCGTCGATTCGCCATCATGATGGTGCCGTGGGGGCCGTACTACTATCTTCCAAAAAGGGTTCTGCCGACTACTAACAGCGCGACCTCCGCTTCTGAATGCTTGTTGGTGAGTGGCTTAGTCACCACGAGCAAGTCGCTACTGAAACGCGGACAACTGAAGCGCTAGAAGAAGGTACGAGTTTTTCTTCTTACAGCTGTTGGTAGAGTCTGCCTGAGGTCGCAGGAGAGTGACTGATACGGCGTTCCAAACCAACCTCCAAGGTTTGGACACCAAACGAGGTTCGGAACGACTAAAGGGGCATGCGGCGTGCATGAGGATAGCTTGATCAACTTCGGATTCGCCACACGTGACTTGATCTGCGGAGATGGAAGGGCGGCGGCCATTGATCCTGTGGTGCTGCTATTGCACCTGAGTCCTTCCTCAATGCGCCGCCGCACATATGTACTGTACCCAAGTTAATTGCCTGCTGTTGTTTGTCCTCGCGGGTCAAAGGTCAGAGCGCAGGGAACGGAAACTATGGTCGCATGTCGAGTCCGTTCTGTGCGACAAATTATGTCGCATGTCGTACCCGTTGTGTGCGTCAAATCAACATCGATCAGGACAAGCCCAAAACCTCGGAAACAAAATTTCCATACAAGTTCAGCCTGGTGAGCAGCGGTTGAGAGTGGTGAAGAGAAAATTATTCGGAGTGTTCACATATCGGATTCTTTGCTTGAACTGAAGAGGCAAATGAGCTTTCAGGTGAACGACGCCCGCCCTCGGGTGAACGACGCAGGGCGATAGGAAAGTGAACGTCGTTCCTGTGCACACCGCCATTTCGTCAAGCGCGGGCTGGGAGGGAGTCACGCTCGCGGTGCTTCGCCAGAGGAGTCGCCCCGCACCTTGACGAAATCGGGTGTAATATAGGACACCAGGTGCGAGGCGTCTCATTTGCCAAATTCTGACTGAAGGTTGTGGCCATTCCTGGGTGACCAAATTTGAAGGGACAGTCAAATTTGACTCCTCCCGACACAATTTACACTTCATACCCGTTTCAGGCTTGTCAGGGAAGTCACATCAGATTACACAAGAGGAAACTACAATACAGGGTACTGTACAATATCAGCGTTCTACATGGTTCGGTTATTTGTACATAGAACCGTTTGGGCACGAGGCTGGCGGAAACCAATACCTGGTTTTTTGGTGCTTGACGACACATCAGCGCTGATTGCGCTTTCGAAGAGGCAATCCGCCGCAGTTGCCGCAGCATAACCCCTCTTTCGCTTTGTGGCCTGAAACCGAAACGTGGGACTCTCAAACCGTTTCTATTGCGAAGCTGTCGTTCCATCTCGGCCGTTCGTCTTCCCGCCTTTCCTCAGAGCAGCGCGCATCGCCTTTGCACGCGCCACCTTCTCCTCTGCCAGACCCTTCAGTTCTGCCACCTTCGCTTTAGCGACATCCACTGCAGTCACACTCTTCCGATACTCCTCCTCAAGGCGAGATGCCGCGGAATTTAAATCCTCGATATAGTTCTCCTCCGATTCAATGTCAACCACAGAAAGTTCCAAGTCGGATTCTTCCTGCGAATAAGCTTCCCACGCATCCTGTGCGTTCTCCTTGGCTTCTTCCGCCATCGCTTCCGCCTCCTCTGCTGCGCGCACTGTTGCCGCGCGCTCGGATCTCGCCCGCTCGAGCGACAGCTGCGCTTCCGCCGTGCCGGCGGCTTCCGCCAACCGCGCTGCTTCGCCCGCTGCGGCGGATGCTACATCCGCCACCTTCCGCTTGCCTGCGGCTAATGCTCCAGTTTTTTCCGCCACCTCTTCCGCACGCTTCAGGTCCGCGGATCGTTTCCGCGCCCGCTCCGTTAGTTCCGCAACGTCCGCGGTCATGACGGCGCGGTCAAACGCCATTTCCTCCGCCTGCATGCGCACTCTAGACACTTCCGCGCTCATTCCCTCCGCGTCCCTCTTCTTTTCTTCGAGAAACTTCTTCGCATCTTCGTATTCCGCTAAAGCTTTGGCGGCTTCTGCGTCCGCAGCGGCGGCTTCACGAACAGCGACTTCTAACGACCTTACGCTCTCGTTTCCGTGATTTTCGATAACGGTTACAAGTTGTGGTGAAAAGGCGCCAAGAGTCTCGCTAGAACTGGCATATTGCTGTGCAGGCGTGATGTCTCGTAAAGCAGTAGTGTGGTCAGGAGACAGGAGAAACCCAAGACAGAGGCATACGATGACCAAGGTATCTCCTACGTGAGCACGCTGGTAGTTGCTATTGGCCATGGTGACTGAGTGCGACAGCGAAGGGAGGGATTAACTTTCAGTAAACTTTCAGTCTAACAAGTAACAGGGAACAGCGAAGAGGGAATGAGGAGCCTTTTATTGAGGTGGTCAAAAATGCGGAGCCGTAATTGAGGAGTAAAGGGGGACATTTGGGGCAGGCAGGAACATACCTGGTCTTGTTGTCTGAAAAACCTCCTGAGAGTTTTCCTGTCCACGGTGGGGCGCGCGTCATTGTGGTGCACTCTTGTTGTGGCGGAAACAAACCCACTGTTGACGCTTGCGCAACGGGATCGCCAGTCACAAAACCAAGGCCGTAATCCGGAAAGGTCTGATGGTGCAGTCTGCACCTGGTTGGATGGTGTTCCGCACCCAATCTTGGGAGTGATGTTGCATTGAGGCCGTAATCTTTTTTCTTTGGAGAATGCCGAACACAGCTTCAAATGGTACACGTCCGTGGAAAAACCGTTTCCTTTTCAAAACCACCCCACCGGAGCCTGCACATGAGACGCATGTTGCTGGAAGAGCCACTGCCACAACGTAGCTGACAAACCACCTGTAACAGTGCAGGTACCGGATTGAGAATCATGGGTGTGGGGTCTGGTGAAAGAACAGGTTTTCACGGCGCCAGAGACGGATCCGCGACACACCATGCACCGACTCCCGTAATAAACGGTTCAGCCGCAATCATTCCTCTCAAATTCTTTACCAGTTCAGAAATTTTGGTGCACAATTGTCTAGAATTACTCCAGTTGGTGCAAATACTCTACAGATCAGTTGTTTGAACTGCTAGATCTCATTAGGCTACTGCATTCTGCCAACATGATTATTAATCTACTCAATTTTGTCATCATGCTCATCTGGACAATGATACAAGTCGCACCAAGAGTTCGCAGCGCAACCAAGCATCAATTGCACCATCCGGTCCAGTCAATCTTCATCTGCACATACTCACTTGGCGGGCACATTCTTCCCCACAATCTTTGCCGGGCAGATGCGCAGCAAATTTCCGGCCTTCCCGGGCACAGCCCCCCGAATAATAACCGCCCGGAGCTCAGGGTCAACCTTCATGATTTTCAGCTTCCGGATTTTCACCTGGGCGTTACCCAGCTGCCCTGGCATTTTCTTTCCAGGGTAGACGCGACCGGGGGTGGTACCAGCACCGATGGAACCCAGCTGACGGTGCGACTTGGAACCGTGGGTCATGGGACCACGGGCAAAGTTCCACCGCTTGATGCCACCTGGGGGACGAACAGGCACGAGAATATGGAAAGCAGGGGGAGGGTGGGAGGAAGGGAAGACAGGGAGGGGAGGCAGAAATGGGGGGAGGAGGGGGGAGAAAGGGAGGGGAGGGAGGGTGGGTGAGGGGGGGGGAGAGGAGGGAGATGAGAATCACAGCCAACAGTTGGTAGCAGCACCAATGGAGCACAGCTGACGGTGTGCGTTGGAACCATGGGTCATGGGGCTGCGGGCGTAGTTCCAACGCTTGATGCCGCCCGGGGTGGGGGGGGAAGGAGCGGGGGGGTGGGAGGAGGGGAAGACATGTATGGTAACAACCTATAACACCACCTCATCTCCTTTGCTACTCACCAGCGAATCCCTTGCCGATGCTGACGCCCTTGATATCGACCAGGTCGTTCGCCTGGAAGAGCTCCTCCACCTTGATTTGCTGCCCCAGCGCGATGCAGCCCTCCCACCATACCCCCCCACCATCTCCACCCATCTCTCACTCACCAGCGAAGCCTTTCCCGATGCTGACGCCCTTGATATCCACGAGGTCGCCCGCCTGGAAGAGCTCCTCCAACTTCATCTGCTGTTTTCCCCTACCCCGACAAGCAACCCCTACTACTACATGGCTAACCCCTCCACGTACCCGCAAAGCCTTTCCCGATGCTGACGCCCTTGATATCCACGAGGTCGCCCGCCTGGAAAAGCTCCTCCACCTTCATCTGCTGCCCCGACGGCAACAGTGGCAACTGCTCGTCTGCCCTAACCCCGCGCTGCAAACCCCCCTACCATCTCTCACTCACCAGCAAATCCCTTGCCGATGCTGACGCCCTTGATATCCACGAGGTCGCCCGCCTGGAAGAGCTCCTCCACCTTGATCTGCTGCCCGGGCGTGAACTGCGCCACGGTCTCCGCGGGCAGGCGGAACTCCTGCAGGTGGCGCAACGGCGGCGCGCCGCTCTTCTTCGCGTGCCCCGCCTCGGGCTTCGACAAGCGCCCCTCGCGCACACGCCGGTAACCCACCTGCGGGGTGGCGGGGGAATGCGGGGGAGGTGGGGAAGGGGAAGGGGGGAGGGAAAAAAGGGGGAGCGGGAGAGATGGGGGAAGAGAACTGAGCTGGAGGTGGACGGGGAAGCGGCTCGGGGATGGCCAAGCGGAACTCTGCAGGTGGCGCGGCGGCGGCGCTCCTCTCTCCTTCGCGTGCCCCGCCTCGGGCTTCGACAGACGCCCCTCGCGCACACGCCGGTGGCCCACCTGCGGGGTGGCGGCGAGGGGTTGGGGGGAGGGGGAGGGGATGGGGGAAGGAGGTGGGTGGGGGGGAAAGAGAGGGAACGGGAGGGGGCAATGAAGAAGGAGGAAGAGGAGGTGGATGAAATGCGGGAAAGAAAGAGCCTTGGGGGAAACTTTTAAGAATTCTCAAAATACCCTGAAGCATCATGAAATGCGGGAAAGGGCTCGAAGAATGGTTGCGAAAGAAGGAGCCGTGGGGGAAAACAAGCAAATATTGGTTGGGACCAGAAAGTCTTCTATCCTCCCTTCGACTTGACTGTATTGGATTTGCTAACCCTTGTTGGACGTAGCTGGGGAAATTCACGGTACGGTACCAGCCGAAGAGTGCGATATACAATCCGAGGGAGATACATGAAGCCACTAGGAAGCTAAGTGTTCGTCCACGAACCACGGACCGCATGACCACAGGTAATGCAGCGGCTTTCCCTTCACATTTCTAGCGTTCCGGTGGCTACGGGATTCCAATACCATCACGCGTCAGATGACTCGAACGAGAACCATAGATCATCTCGGCCGTTCGGAGGCTTGCGCTTTGAGACAGGAACGTAAGGGCTAGCGGAACCAAGCGTATCGACTCAGACATATTGATATCACTTTTGAGAATTCTCAAAAGTGATCTCAATATGGCTTGCGCCTTGAGAAAGGAACGCAAGGGCTAGCGGAACCAAGCGTATCGACTCAGACATTATCCTTCTCAATCCACCCATTCACAGGCTTGTTGTCGAAGGAACGTAAGCGTCGCAGAAAATACGCGAGCTCCCAATGTAACTATTCTGTACGTTTCTAGCTTTCGAGGCACCTATTCAGGCAGATGGATGACCGGGGCCCAAAGGGTAGCATTCTCGAAACAATGCGAGATTAAGCAGGTTCGCCAAAACCCTGGCATTGACCGGTCTTCGACTTGGATCGCCGTTAGCGTCGTACCTGCACAGCATTGTAACCATCGGTGTCGGTGGTCTTCACTTGCGTAACAATGTTACCCTCGTGGAAGCCAATCACCGTGCAGGGAACGGCCTTGCCGTCCTCAGTGAACCACGTCAGCATGCCGACCTTGTTACCCAAAACCCCGATTCCAGCCTCCATTCCCATGGTAACCACGCCTCTACACCCGGTGCTAGTTGATACTACACGGTTCGAGGAGTCGGTAAGACCGGCTGACGTGGCGCTGGAAGCGGGAGACGCGGAGAGTCGCAGGCCATCGAACTTGCGACTGAGAGCGGAGGCTGAGATGGATGGTGATGCGACGGCGGCAGCGTTGCGACGAGGTTGCGACGCAACCAGCTTAGCAGAGACTGTGCATGACCCGGCCGGGGCGAGGGCAGCCATGGCTGAAACAACTCAAAATTAGGTCACAGAAAATAGCAGGCCCCGAAAGGTGCTGCTCTAAAAGTAGGAGAACCTTATCCACAGAAAATAGCTCCAGCCGAGGGAGAGAAGGCAAGCTCGAGGTGATGGCTAATCAGCAGGAGTACGCGAAGATTAACGAGAATCAGCGACCTGATTTATCCTGGGTGTTGACAGTGTGCGAAATTCGCAAAGCAGGAATCCAAGGGTGTGGGCGAAAGGATTACGTGTTTCCAGCAACAGAGCGGCTGACGGGGAGTGAGTGAGATGGTGACACGTCTGCTTGCACAAAAGCCACCACTTGTGCAAACTTTCGGTACAAGCATATCAGCTTGAGATTCTGACACGAGCTTAGCACACCTGATGTAAACAAGGTTCCTTATATCATCAGTTGAGATACCAATAAATAATTAATGTAGCTTTACATGTATTGAGGATCTCCCAACTATGCCACTACCGCATCACACAGTATTTCGCGAAGCGGGATCCCCGCTCCAGCAATTCCCACCCTCCCCCACATTCAACCACTGGCGCAACCCCCGCAACCCAATCCCGCAGAAGTTCACGGGCGCGTCGCGCAAATTGATCAAATTTCTCGCATGTGCGCTGCGCCTCACTCGAGCTGTGTACTCCCATGTCGAGCGACTGGAGGGGCCCGACATTCCCACAAAGGGCACACGAAGCCCTCTGGGCTGGAGTGTCAAGCTTCCGACTTGCACACACCAGCCCACCGACGCCGACGCCGTCGCCAGTTGTTTTCCCTGTCCACCCAAACGAACGCTCTGCCTCGACCGCGAAGAGCGAAGAAGAAACTTCATTCAGGCTGCTCCACCACACAACAGCCTGTCACATCTGTCAGGCGAAGCTGCAGGGGGTGCTGAATTACGACACGCTAGGACATGCTGCAAGCTAAAGTCACGTCCATTAGCATTGACAAAAGTACAACTCTGGTTTCCACGTATCAACGTAGCTCCGTTGCGTTATTTATAAACCTTGTTTCGAAACCACCAGTCCGGAGAAGCAGAGCCATCACATACGCGAGTATTCGACAGCGTCCGAGAGCGGGAATGGCGTCACTAGGTCACCTACGCCGCGCGCTCATATTTTCCGCCGCCTTCACTCTCCTCCTTCCCCCTACCGCCGCAACCACTCAGTCGTACGCCATTGCCCGCGACAAGAACCTACGCGGAGGAGCCGTTCAGCATAGCGCAACACCAGACTCTCCAGACGGTTACGGCCCTGCATCATCTGATTCAGACGATAGTTACAGCTCGGGGTCGCCTGGTGCGGAAAACGCGGAGGTGAAGGCGGCGAAGAGAGTTTCTGCAGCGGATGCGGAGGCGGCGGAGGCGCTAGCTGCGTACGAAGAGGCGAAGCGCGCTCTCGCTTCGCAAAAGATAGAGCAGGAGGAGATGCGCATCCCGGCGCTCGAGGCGCGGCAGCAGCAGCGCGATGCGGCACGCGAGCAGGCGGAACTGGACGAGGCGGTCGCGGCGGCGGAAGCGGAGCTTCAATCCGCGGAGAACGCGCTCAAAGAAGCGCGGCAGGAGCGCAGCGCAAACGCGTCGGCAGGCGCCGCCAGCGCGGTTGACAGAGCCGCGCAGCGGAAGGATCAGGTAGCGCGGAAGCTTTCCTCCGCGCGCGCCGAGGCACGCGGGAACCGGCCGTACCTGCAGGAGATGGAAACGAACGTGCGCGACTTCGAGGGCGCGTTCGTGATGGCGGCGCGAGAGGCGGGGATGGCGGCGGAGAGGGTGAAGGCGCTCCGGGCGGAGATGGTTGAGAAAATGGAAAGGGCGGCGGAAGCGCAGTCTGCGTGGCAAGCGGTGGTGCGAGACGAAGAGAGAACTTTTCTGGAAAAGAGTGGGTTGATGGTACAAGAGGCAGAGCGACACGATGGCGGTCCAGTCGCTGTCGTAGCAGCTGCTTAACGAAACAGAAATCATGCAATGGGTTCGGGTAGATTGAAGCTGGATGATGCAATGTTGGGTGTGTCTCGCATCACCTCATCACCTGCTGCGGCGGTTGAGAGTTTCCCCTCTCCTCATCGCCAAATGCGGATTTCGTAGCATTAGGCGTGTCTCGCAGGGAGTGGGCTGTCGAAATCTGCGAATAAAGAGGTCGCCGCCGCACCTTAGCGGGGTCTAGCACTCTGCGGATTATATTGGGTCACGCGGGGTGCACTCTCTGTTCTGGTGTACAGCTGAAGGTGACTGATGATGTGGGGGTGAAGGTGACGCAGTGGCTGGGATGTTAGGTTTTATATCCAGCCGTCCTTAATAAAATGCGTTATGGCAGTTTTGTAATCAACATTTTGTTGATTTGCTGCCCAGGACACTTCACTTGTCTCCACATGATTATGCTCAGTTTGGCTCGTGAGATGACTTTCCAGAGAGGATAGTTGTTGCTTCTGATAGGAGCCCACTCAGTGATGTCTGTAAGGCTACGGGATTTGGTAATGTGTTGCAAAGCAGGTTTCTGTGGTATTTGGTCGTCGTTGTGGTGTTACAGAATTGGTTTTGAGACCAGCCCCTAACTGCACATGGCATCAGAGACTGCCCTGAATATGCTGGGATAATGGTTGTGTGCTCCTGAACCCCCCTGAAGACGCTGGGATAATGGTTGTGTGCTCCTGAACACGCCCTGAAGACGCTGGGGTGAGCAATGACTTGAGGACATCCCTAATGGTTTTGTTTGTTCAGAGCCCTCGCCACTCCCTTAGGCCTGGCAAATTTTGTGAGTTGGAGTACAATAGTCAGAAGACGCAATATCGTTGGCTGGAGACAAGTCCTGTGCATGTCCTAATAGTCTGCGTAGCGAGGACATTGGAGGAAAAGGCATGTACAAGATCAAAAGAAGATTTCACTGGCATTTACCCATTTTGAATGTGCACCCCGGTTGCTGTACAAGATCAGAAGAAGAGTCCGCGTTAGCTTGAATGTCTAAACTAGTTGCTGTACAAGATGAGAAGAAGATTCCGCTTGCACAAATTATAGATTCAGGGTGTATGCGTCAGCTTGAAATAGTCCCTAATCAAATTCTCAGTAACAAGCTAATAGGGAATCACACAGAAGGTGTATTGTAAGGATTTTTTTCGGATTCCTTACTGGGTCACTCTGTTCGCGTACAACCCCGACTTTCGGAAAACCAGGCTCGGTCCGCCGACCTCGCCTTCCGAGCCACCACCGCGTCGCCTTCGGGTTTTCCAACCCCGAACCTGCACCCAACCATCTCGCGACCCCGCGACCTCGGCCTAGCTAGCCTTGCTATATTGTGCCTAGGCCTCGTTGTTCAGTCAGACGTAATCACTTTCTCATTATTGAGTTCTGCGCACTCTCTTCTTTCACAACTCATAACATGTATGATTTTCTGGTAACACCGCATTTGTTTTCGCGAACGCTGTGGTTGGAACCACACTCAGCCATAAGCAGGCCTGTGCCTCCAACAAGTGTCGAAACAGTACGAGGCAAGTTTGCCTTGAGTTGCGCTGGCGACGCTTCCGAAGCGTTGGGGTCCGTTGTCTTTCTCAGGGGCAATCTAAGCCGTTCAGCTCCCCAGCCTTTCCCCCATCGCCTCGGCAGGCCAGGCCAGCCCATCAAGCGTTGGGATCAATTGTCCTTCTCATGGGCTATCCGGGCCGTTCAGCCCCAAACTTTCTCCCCAAGCCAGCCACACTGGCCTCGGGCAGACCAGGCCGAAAATCACACTCGCCTCGGCAGACCAGGCCGAACCAGCCCATCGCCATGGCTACGATTTCCGCCTGCCACCACAACTCACCGCACCGCACCACCACCCTTATGTATGGCGCGTCGCGATGCACAGCAAGGTGGATAAGCAGCGTTGAAATGTACGGTCTAGGAGGGACCTGTCCGAGAGGTTTGTTGTGGACGGGTTGATCGAGTAGACTATTAATATCAGACTAATTAGTATCACGGCTGGGTCTGGGGACTCAATTCCTGACACTTTCTTGCCTTGACTCACCTTTCTGTCTGTCGTAGTTGTGATTCCGAAATCCCAGAGCCTAAACTCGCTCAGGTTCGACGTTCGAAGCTGAGCCTACTTGTAATTGCCACATTCCTCGACGCTTGAGCAGGAAACGAATATCATGGCGCTGCGGCAAGCCCGACATAATCCTCCCTCGCCTATCCGCTTGACACTCGCTACCATTGTCTCCCTCTCCATCACATTAACGCTCGTATTACTCGTGAGCGGCGCCACTCCTGATCCGTTACCGAGTTCTGCTACTAACGAGGCCACAGAGTCTTCTCTCGTCGCCGACCGAGCTGGCTCAGCTCAAGCCGCGACAAAATTGATAACGACAATCCCGCACCACGTCATCACCAGTTTCAAGTTACCAGGCGGAAATGCCGATCCCCTCGCCTTGCTCCGCCAATTAAAAGCAGCGGCGGTGGAGGCAAAGCAGCTCGTGAACGTGGCGCGCCGCGACCTGGAGGCCATGGAGCGGAACCTGTTAGACGCGAATCGCAAGGTGGAAGGATTACGAGAAAAGATTCAACTCTCCAAGAAGCGCGCCGAGCTCTTCGCGGCGCGAGCCCGCGAGCAGCAAGCGGTCGCGGAGGAAATGGCGGTTGCTGCCGACGCGGCGACGAAGCGCGCGTACGCGAATCCAACCCCTGACGCAGTAACGGCGTTTGAGGTTGCGGTTGCGGCGAAAAAAGTGAGTCTGCACGTAGCGGGGACAACGGCGAAGAAAGCGGAGAAGATCGCCAAGAGGGCTGAAATGCGCGAGGAAGCTTTAAAGCTCGCGATAGCTTATCACAACAATCTGAAGCCCTTGGTTGGGAAACACGTGGCATCGGTTCAAAAAGCCGAAGCTCAGGCCGACGAGGCCGCAGCAGAATTCGTTAACGTTTGGAGGAAAATCAGGTCGCGGATTACAAACGAGGATTTGATAACACTTCTGTCGACCAATTCAGGCGGAGGTCCGGATTCACCGAGCCTGGCGAGTAGTTTGTCAGCCTCGGGGATTGACGGAGCTCGAGCTGCCGCCGTAGCGGTTGCGCTTCAGCGTATTTCGGCGTCGGAAGCGGAAGAATTTGTTACCAGGGCGTTGCAAAAGGAGGCCGTTACCATTTCCGAAGCTGTAAAAGCAGCGGCTGAGGAGGCTCGGGTCCGAGCCTTTGAGGCTAAGAAAGAGGCTCGGGAGAAGAGGCAGGAGCAGGAGAATGTCGAAGGCGAGGCGGAAGAAGCGGAGTTTCAGGCGCGAGAGGCGGAGAAAGACGTGGGTTCAGCTAAGGAACGAGCAGCGCAGATCGCGGAGCTTCTGGTGGAGCAGCGGAAAGTGGCGGAAGAAGTGGCGGCGGAGCGGGAGGTTGCGCGCAAGCGCGCATACTTGCGGGAGTCGGAGGAAGCGCAGCAGGCGCTGGATCTCGCGACTGCGGTCAGCGAAGAAGGCGCACGAGTGCTTGCGGAAATGATTCGGAAATCGCGACGGGCAGCTGAAAAAATTACGTTGAGGGAGGATCATTTGCGGCAGGCGGTGGTCTATCAAAAAGAAACAATGGAGTTGGCACAGAAGAATAAAGCCGTGGTAGAGGAGTTGGAAAAGAAAGCTGCACAAGCAGAGCAGGCGTTTAGTAAGGCAAAGGAGGACGCTAAAAACGCGGATGCGTTGGTCAAGAGGCTGAAGGAACTGGCAGCGAGGCGGCATGAGGAGTCCAAAAAGCTTCGACTTCAACGGTGGGATTCATTCCAAGCTTCAAAATCTTGAGAGATGCTCATGTACTGTACTGTCATGTCTAAATGACAGTTAAACCTTTTTTCGAAGTGCTTTTTTTTTTTAAGCCCAAACCAGACCAGAGAACACACTACCATAGATCGTGGATGAATTATAATTACATATTTATTTCAATCTGGTGATTTACTTTACACCATTGCCCAGAGTCGTTTTACCTGTACACCAACCAGGCAAGCAAATGAATAAATGTGCAATGATGCACTGATAATAACTTCCTTTAATACTATGGCGCCGGCATGGGTACTGGGCTCGAGTGTACATGGTACATGCACGGTACTACAGTAAGGCCCCAGAAACGACGCCTTGATAGTCCCCTCACAATTAACTGCTAGCATTGCTGCCTCCTGCTGCTGCCTGCCAACCCGTTACGTCCCTGCCCCTGCTCCGCCTCCCTCCCCATCTCTGCCCTTCCAGAACATTGCAGAGATGAAGTGTGCTGTGTAGTATTGCAACAGTTACTCCAGCCCGTCTTAAACAGAATCCAGCCCCTCTTAGAAGAACCCCGCCCTCCCAAGGCGCCAAGGAGAGCACCTTGATAGTCCCTTGGCTGTTTGCTGCTAGCATCGTTGCCTCCTGCTGTTGCCCAGCACCCCCTTCCCCTCCTGCCCCTACTCCACCTCCCTCTCCCTCTTCTAAGGCGCCAAGGACAGCACCTTGATAGTCCCTTGGCTGTTTGCTGCTAGCATCCTTGCCTCCTGCTGCTGTCCAGCACCCCCTTCCCCTCCTGCCCCTACTCCACCTCCCTCTCCCTCTTCTAAGGCGCCAAGGACAGCACCTTGATGGTCCCTTGGCTGTTTGCTGCTAGCATCGTTGCCTCCTGCTGTTGCCCAGCACCCCCTTCCCCTCCTGCTCCTGCTCCTCCTCCCTCTCCCCCTCCGCCCTTCCAGCACACTGCAGAGATGAAGTGTGCTGTATCCTCGTCACTGTCTTCCCCGGTAAAAGGGTCAGAGTTGGTAAATCGGTGCACTGCCATTGGCTTGGACATGGCCTGCAAGAGGGACAGTGGAAGGTGGAGAGGAAGAGGTGATCAGGTTTGGGAGGGAGATAAGATACGGTTGAGACCGGTGAGGTGTATCCATGCATTCTTATGGGCAAAGAGGAGGAAGAAGAAGAAATAGGGTCCGCGCTGACCAATTAGAGCATTTGGACACTGTTACACACATCTGAAATGTAACCTGACATGACATGACAAAATTCTTATACCTTGTAATAGATGTACACTTCATTAGTTTCAGAGCCGCACGCGATGTAGTCACTGTTGACCGACAAGCCGACAAAGTTCTTCTCATTGGTGTGGCCCCTCAATGTGCGGATCTGAAGAGAGGAGAAAGAGGGAGAGAGGGATGGAATTTGAGTCGACTCAAGAGTCAACAAGCCCTCAAAGTTCTTCTCGTTAATGTGGCCCCTCAGCGTGCGGACCTGAAAAAGGGTGAGGGAGGGAGGGAGCGCAGGAGGAGAAGGTAAAGTGAGCGAAATTTACAGACCGAAACACTTCGAGCGATGTTCTAGACGCCTCAAAAATGAAGAAGGGAAAATGAGCGGAAGATTTTCAGACCGAACCACTTCTTGCACTGACGAAGTCAACCACGAAACTTTTCTCATTGATGTGGCCCCTCAACGTGCAGATATGAAAATGCGAGAGGGAGGAAGGGAGTGCAGGAAGGTGTCCCCTCGACAAGTGCTGAAGGCCTTGATGTGCCATGGAGAGAGACCACGTGAAAGATAACTCACCGCAGCGTGGGAGTGCACGTCCCAGAGCCGGAGTGTGCTGTCAGTAGAGGCAGAGGCGAGCTGCGAGGGCGAGAGGAACTTGACGTAGCTCACAGCCTTGCGGTGACCAGTGAACACGTGGAGAGGGAGAGCTGGAGCCCTGATGTCGTAGTAATGAATGTGATGGTCTGCTGACCCCACCTGAAGGCAACAGGGGGAGGCATCAGGGCGAAGCCAAGGAAACAAAACGAAAGCATAATACATGAAATGAGGTGTTGAACACGTGGAGAGGCAGTGCTGGTGCTCTGATGTCGTAGTAGTGAATGTGATGGTCTGCTGACCCCACCTGCGGTTAGAGGAGCATACAAGGGGAAACCCAGGGGAAAGGGAAGGTAAGACAAGCGGGTGAGAGGGCGAGAGGAACTTGACGTAGCTCACTGCCTTGCGATGGCCAGAGAACACGTGGAGAGGGAGGGCTGGGGCCCTGATGTCGTAGTAGTGAATGTGATGGTCTGCTGATCCCACCTGAAGGCGTAAGCGGGAAAGAAAAGAAACCAAAGGGGAACAAGTGAGATGAGGCACTGAACACGTGGAGAGGCAGCGCTGGTGCTCTGATGTCGTAGTAGTGAATGTGATGGTCCGCTGACCCGACCTGAGGAACAAGGGCAAAGGACAAAGGGCGACGGTCAGGGGAGACGGAGGGTGGTGGCCGCTGAACACGTGGAGAGGCAGCAATGGTGCTCTGATGTCACGGCAACAAATGTGGTGGCAAAACGGGTTAAGCTTGATGCGGCCGATGTCAGACCGACCGGGTAATAAGCAAGAATGTGAGGCAGCTCATAAGAAGGATGTGATTGGATGGTCTTACCGCAATGAAGTTGGCTGAACCGGGGTTGAACTTGACACAGCAGATGTTGGCCTTCATGTCGATGTTGAGCACACTGCTCTCCTGCCTCGTGCACCAGATCTTCACCTATGATGACAAAAAAAAAGAGGGGGGGCGGGGGGGGGGAGAGGAAAGGAAGGGGGGAAGGGGGATAGCGGAAGAGAAGATGTTGGCCTACGTGTCAAAATTCAGCACACACAGCCACAAACACACCCAAACACTGAAGTCCACTTCTGGTGCCAGTGCGAGGCAAGAGCTGCAACCACGAAGTTACGCTTGACCTCTCATCTTACGAATCTGCCCAATAACGTCAAGAGGGTCTGGCGCTGCCCAATTTGTTAAAGCAGCTGCCATGGACCGAATTGTTTGTGGACGGACTCAGTAAGTACATATATATGAGCAAATATCATATGAGGGCACGCTGCGTCACCTTCATTGGCGCAGCGTGCTCTCTTATGGTACTTGTTCCTTTCTATGTACTCTCTAAATCCATCTACAAACAGTTCGGACCACTCCAGCTGCTCATAACAAATTGCGCAGCGCCAGATCCTCTTGACGTGCCCACGTCCCACACCGTCACAATGCCCTCGTAGTCCCTCTGTGTGTCCTCTGTGCACTCTATCTGTCTTTAGTGCCGTGTGTGCCTTTTAACCCGTGCCCACGTCCCTCTTTGTCCCTCTGCCTCCAGCCTACCCACATATTTACCTTCCCGTCGTCGCTTCCAGAGACTAGTCTGGTCGGCTCAGTTCGAGCAAAGTCCACCGACCAGACGCGCTTCTAGTGCTCCTCGTACTCCAGCAGGCTCTGCCCCGTGCCCACGTCCCACACGGTCACGATGCCCTCGAAGTCCCCCACTCACCCACTCACTCACCTTCCCATCGTCACTGCCAGAGACTAGTCTCGTCGGCTCAGTCCGTGAGAAGTCCACAGACCAGGCACGCTTCTCATGCTCCTCGTATTCCAGCAGGCTCTGCCCCGTGCCCACGTCCCACACCGTCACAATGCCCTCGTAGTCGCTCAACCTCTTACCTTCCCATCATCGCTGCCAGAGACTAGCCTTGTAGGCTCAGTCCGTGCGAAGTCCACAGACCAGGCCCTTTTTTCGTGCTCTTCATACTCCAGCAGGCTCTGCCCCGTGCCCACGTCCCACACGGTCACAATGCCTTCGTAATCGCTGCTCGCGATGTGCGCCTTGAGGTAGGGGTTCCAAGAGAGACAGCTGAGCTTGGATCTGGTTGGCATCTCCACGACTGGACAGTGCACGTCTGCTAGCTCGCCCACCACCTGTCAGGAGGGGAGGAGAGAGGGAAAAAAAACGCCTTTGAATCCATCCATCCCCAGCAGGCTCTGGTGGGCCTCTGATGCCACGCCACACGTCCCACGTCCCACACGGTCACGATGCCCTCGTAGTCGCTGCTGGCAATGTGCGCCTTGACGTAGGGGTTCCAGGAGAGACAGCTGAGCCTGCTGCGAGTGGGCATCACAACAACTGGGCAGTGCACGTCCGCTAGCTCGCCCACCACCTGTTAGCATCAGGGGAAAGGGGCGAGGATGTGACGGGGAGGCAGGGGAACAGGGGAGCAGGAATGGAGCAATGTGCGCCTTGAGGTAGGGGTTCCAGGAGAGACGGCTGAACCGAGTGAACGCCGCCAGAACCTGCCGGAAATCCTCTAGGCCCATGCCCAGATCCACCTGCCCAGATCCACCTGCCCCCCCATAGCCCCGCCCTTTCCCAACCACGACTACTGACCTGCGAGAAATTGAAGACCTTGATTCGCCTGGACACCCCGGCCGTCGCGAAAAACTCGTCGTCCCTATCGAATTCGATGCTCGATACTATGTTGGACGAGTCAAACAAATCCCCCTGTCGCAGCTCCGCCACCACCTTCACACGGCTGAACCGAGTGAGCGCCGCCAGCACGACACGACAGCACCCACCTGGAAAAAAGAACACCATACTGTGGCGAAAAAAGGCCACTGACCTGCGAGAAGTTGAAGACCTTGATTCGCCTGGACACCCCTGCAGTCGCAAAGAACTCGTCATCCCGATCGAACTCGATACTGGATACGATGTTAGAGGAATGGAACAAATCCCCCTGCCTCAGTTCCGCCACCACCTTCACTCGGCTGAACCGTGTGAATGCCGCCAGAACCTGCCGGAAGTCCTCCAGGCCCATGCCCAGATCCACCTGCCCCACCGCCGCGCCCTCCGCTGCTGAGCCGTCTCCGCGCCTCCCCAGCCCAGCCCCTGCTGTTGCTGCAGCTGAAGGTGCGGAAGTTCCTCCTGCCGCTGCTCCCGCGGGCTTGGCGGCGCGCGCTGCCTGGCGGCGGTGGTGCAGGTAGCACTCCTGTAGGTCGTCGAACTGCACACGGGGGGGGGGGGGGGGTGGGGGGAGGGAAGGAGAGGGGATGAGGGAGAGAGGAACAAGGTCTGAGCGAGTGGGCCACCTGCCGGAAATCCTCCAGGCCCATGCCCAGAATCCACCACCCCACCGCCGCGCCCTCTCCTGCTGCTGCTGCTGCTGCTGCTGCAGAGCCATTGCCGCGCCTGCCCGCCTCTGCTGCTGCAGTTGATGCTCCCGCGGGCTTGGCGGCGTGCGCTGCCTGGCGGCGGTGGTGCAGGTAGCACTCCTGTAGGTCGTCGAACTGGAAAAGAGCGGAGAGCAGGGGGAGAGTCGTTGGATCCTACTCTTCACTTTCAAATAGGTGCTTCATATATCTGAAAAACAAACAAACAAAAAAACAAAAACAAAAAAAAGGAGGAAAAAAATATCCAGAAGGATGAGCATCAGGTCCAGAACGGCCTCTCTGCACCGTTGGATTGGATGGACTCTCAATCTCAACGGTGGCAAAGGCCTCTTGAGACGTCTCAAAAGTTCCATCCAACCAACCTACATGGGAAAATACTCGTCGCTTCTTGGCAACCGTTGATGCGGACATGGCAATATCCGACGGCCCACACGCGACGAGCCCTCCACCATCCCCTCCCCCTTCCCCTTCCGCCTCCTCCTTCACCGCCCCCACTCCCCCTCCGACTATCCCCCGCGCATCCCCCTGAACGCGCATCTTCTGCGCGGTTTGCTGCAGGTGGTGCGCGAGCGCGGGTCCCCCCCTCCGCTTGCTCCCCGACAGCCCTCCCCCCGCGCCCGCCTTCAGCCCCGCCAGTCCCCCGGATCCGAACCCCGTCTCGTCCCCTGCGCCACCCGCGGAAGACGCGCCTCCGCGGAAGAGCAGCGCGTGGATGGCGGCGGCGGACTGCTCGCGCATCTGCTGCAGCGCGCGCCGCCGCTGCTCCACCGCCGCTATATCCTCGCGGATGAACAGAAGGTCCGCGCGGAGCTCGTCCAGTTCCGCTTGTTTCTTCTGCCGCGACCGCTGTAAGAAATCCAACAGGATATCCATGTTCATCTCCGCCTCCTCCTGCTCCGCCTTGCGCCGCTTCTCCGCCAGCAGCGCCAGCAGCGCGTCCAGCTCGCGCACGCTCATGCTCATGTCCGCGCTGTGCTGCAGCGCCAGCCGCAGGTGCTGCGACGGCGACGCGGTCGAGACCATCTGCGTCGCCGTGGCCTTCTTCAGGAGCTGCACAGCCGGCGGGAGAGGAGCGGGGGACACGGCGGGGAGACGGGGCGAGTTTAGAAACGTCTCGAAGAGAGACTATCTACAGGACGGTGGCTTTCTTCAAGAGCTGGACGGGGGAAGCGGGAGACATGCGTGAGGAGCTCCGAGGGTGCGGAATTTACACGAGATGCTCAGGAGATGCTTAGTTAAGCGTGAGGCTAGAAAGTACCTTGTTAAGCGTGAAATTGGGGAAAATCTGGTCGAGAGTGAGGAACTGCGAACAGCACGGGCAGTTCCGCTTGTGATGCAGATGTGTGGTGATGCACGAGTAGCAGAAACTATGTCCGCACGCCGTTAAAAACGCGTCGCGCATCGGCTCCATACAAATTGGGCAGAGAAAATCTTTGTCCATCTGACCCTGCCCGTGCGGAACCGCCATGCTTCCCCCACCCGGGCCGCCGTGCGGAGCGAGTGCTTGTAACGAATGGCCACCCAAGGCTACCATACCCATACTTCTTCTGAAGCTCGCATTAGCATCCATTCCTAAATTATCTACGTCACGTAGTTCTCCTCCTTCTACAGGCTCGAGCTTTGCCTGACTACTTTCGGCGGGAGTCCCGCCACTACCGCCGACACCAGCTCCGCGAGCCATCATTACTGACGGAACGTTACTTGGAATTCCCGATGAAACTTCGGTGAGTTGAACATCCATGGTGGCTCTATGGATGCGATAGACGGGTGAATAATAACTGTGAGCAGGAAAAAAGAAAAATGACTAGAGCTAGAGAAATATGTTCATGCTGCTAGAGCACGGATAGAAAACTGATCTCCCTAGTTCTTGCTGGGGAATGGAAACCCTAGAATAGATTTGCTTCCATGGAGTAAACCGTACAGCTTGTCCCCATGGGTGCAGGAGGGCTCAAACTGTAGAACCAGGAATTTTCTGGAATCCGCAAGTGGTGCGACTCAGGACGTGGGCCCAATCGACTTTGATCGGCGCGATCAGAGGCGGTCAAGAATTTCGAGGAAGGCGGGAAGCAGATTTTAGGCAATCGGGGGCAATCAGCAGATCGCGATCAGCTGATCGCTCCAACTCGATCAACCGCCTCAAACAGCCCGATCAGACCCGATCAGACACAATCAGACCCAATCACTTGATTGCATGTGATCGGGCACCTGGGCGATGTACGCGAAATGTAACACGCCTCGCCAAGGGGTCTCGAAAATCCTTGCGAATACACCCAGATCGGCGAGAAATGCATGCCATGGCGACATTACCACGATACTGAGATTCGTCATTACTGAGTTTTCATGCAAGAGCGCGAAACATTCGAGGAAAATCATCTCTGATCGGGCGGCTTGGGGAAAACAATCAGAAGCAATTCGATCCGATCCAACACGATCCGATCAGAGCCGATCAAAGTCGATTGGGCCCACGTCCTCAGGTTGACGGGGAGTTGGTGGAATGGGGGTGGTGGAGAGGATCTGGTAGGCAAGAGCCAGCAGGGAAACATTGGGCAGGCAAGCTCGAAAAGTACTGTAGAGAAGGAGCAAGAGCAGCCATTACAAATCTAAAATCCAAACTGGAAGAACTTGGGCTTTTGCGTCGGGTGGGGTTTTAAAATCCAGCGGGAAACCAGTGGGAACACACGTGGAGATCTCTTACGAGATTGGCAGTGAGCATAACAAACTCGTGCGTTTTAAAACTTCCGGGTTGGCAGGGCATTTCAAAAACATCAAACAATTGATCGGTTTCGATTTTAACACGTCGATAGTGTCAACATGTGTTTCGTGTCTCATCGTCCACCAACAGATCGATGTCAGATTATCTGTGTGTGGAGCGCATGTGTCTTTTACGGTCAGCCCGTTTACACTTTTCCCACTCCCCATTATCTCATCCCAGCCAATCACCGCCATAATCGTAAGTCGCGACAGACAAGGGCTGCACTTTGGCAGTCCCCATCCGTCGTCTAGCGAATTGCTGCCACTGCCTGGAACCAAATGCGAACAGCCCTGAGCCAAAGGATGGAGGTCGTGTGCAGCAGAGATGCACTGAAGAGTGGGAAAGATCATTTGTAGTGCAGAACTATATTGTTACAAGTTATTGTTACAAATCAAGTCCAAATTTTTGTTGTCATACAAACAAGGGTAAGCATTTGTAAAGCAATGTATCCCGTGGATCTTTTATGAATATTGTAAATCTCAACCACACCATAGGGCATCATACATAACATGGTATATGTTCCTCAAGCAAATGTGGAGCATGTACGCTCAATAAGATGGTAGTTCTGCTGGACGAGAAACTTGGATCCCTCCGCGCCATCCATGTTGTACGGGGCTCCACTAGACGTCCAGCCAATATCACCATAGCTGTTACACGTAGGACAAGAACGCCGGTTCAGGGCAGGTTGGCGGAGAAGCGGGGTGTGGGAAGGGAGAGGGAGTGTTGGGGGGTTAGGTGGAAGGAATGGAGATGTGAAGGGGAAAGCCACACGTAAACTACACGTGAGCCACCATAATCACTCATCCCCTCCCCCGCACCCTCACAGAAGCACACACCTGTAGGAGCACACATCGGCGTTCTCGTCCCCCTTTCTCGTCCATCCACGTGGAGAGGTACGGGTCGCTGGTGGCCTCTGCGAGCTCAACCATGCATTCAATTCAACCGCACTGCACCTCAACAAACCGCACCTATAAGAGCACATGTCGGCGTTCTCCTCGCCCTTCTAATCCATCCACATGGAGAGGTAGTGTTCGCTGGTGGCCTCTGCGAGCTCATCCATGCACCCAGTGAACCCCCACCAGCGACCATTGAACCTCCACCCACTAAACCCAAGCACGCACCTATAAGAGCACATATCCGCGTTTTCCTTGCCCTTCTCGTCCATCCACGTTGACAGGTAGGGGTCGCTGGTGGCCTCTGCGAGCTCGTGGGCGAAGGTGGAGACGAGGGCGTCCATGCCCTTGTCCCTGTTGGGGGCCGCTAGGCTGCTTGCCAGTTCCCAGGCCGCACAGTTGGGCAGGCACTGGCAGGGATGGAGAGGGGCAGAAAGGGGTGAAATGGGGTATTGGTGTGATGAGAGGCGAAGATGGAGACGAGAGCTTCCATGCCCTTGCCCCTGTTGGAGGCTGCTAGACTGATGCTTGCTAGCTCCCATGCTGCACAGGTGGGTAGACACAGGGGGAGGTGGGAGTTGGGAAGTAGGGGAGAAGCAAGGGGGGTATAAATGAAGGTATCAATAAGGGAACGGGAAGGGAGAGGGGCAATAGTAGAGATGCGTTCATTCATACCCTTGCTTTGCATTCAACTGCACTCAACCACACTCAACCGCACTCAACTGCATTTACGAGTGCCAGCCACGGTCAAAAGCAGTGCACCCCAGAAAACCACACTCAACCGCACTCAGCCTCACTCAACCACGTTCAACCGCACTCAGCCTCACTCAACCACGTTCAACCGCACTCAACCGCACCGAACCTCACCCTGCCAGCTGGGTTGCCGACGAGGCTGGTCTTGATCCTCTTGCCCATCATGTTGATGTATGAGTGCCAGCCACAGAAGGAGGTGCAAAATCCTTTTAGCATCATCTTCTGTCAGGGGAATGATTGGGGGTGAGGGATGGGGGGGGGACAGGGAGGGGGAAAGGATTGGGGGGATTGAGGGTCCGGGAAAGGGGGTGGGGGCGTTCAAGTGCGTATGCGTGCAAGCCACAGAAGGCCGTGCAAAACCCCTTCAGCATCATCTTCTGTCAGGGGCATGATGGGGGAGGGTGGGGGGGGTGGTGGGGGGTTTGTGTTGAGGCTGAGAATGTATGCGTGCCAGCCACAGAAGGCCGTGCAAAACCCCTTTGCATCGTCTTCTGTCACCCACGCACCCTCTTCATGCGGGGAGAGGAGATGACAAAGTAGACGCCCCTGGTATCGAAGGGCAGGTATCGTCTCAAGATGGACTCGCGGATCACTGCATGCACCGATGCTGTTGATCCGATCGACCCGAAGAGCGGAGAGTAAAGCGTGGACGATCCTTTCATGCCCCTGCCCTGCCCAACCCCCCTGCCCAACCCCCCTGCCCAACCCCCTGCCCGACCACACCCACTCACCCTCTTCATGCGGGGCGAGGAGATGACGAAGTAGACGCCTCTGGTATCAAAGGGCAGGTATCGTCTCAAGATGGACTCGCGGATCACTGCATGCACTGACGCTGTTGATCCGAGCGACCCGAAGAGCGTTGGTAGAAGGCCCTTCTCGCCAATCCACCGAAACCCCCCCAGCTTGATGCCCTTGCTCTTCCTCTTGCTCTTGCTGCTGGTTGTGTTGGCATTGCTGCTGCTGCTGCTGCTGCTGCTGTTGCTGCTGCTGCTGCTGCTGCTGCTGCTGGTTGTGTTGGCATTGCTGCTGCTGCTGCTGGTGGTCGTGTTGGTGTTGCTGCTGCTGCTGCTGCTGTTGCTGGTGCTATTACCGCTGCTGGTAGTGCCACTGCTGTTGCTACCCCTGTCACCACTGCTACTGCTAATACCAGCCGAATGCCGAGAGGCGGGGCGGCTTGAAGACGGGCGGCGGGAAACCGGGCGGCGAGAAACCGGGCGGCTGGAAACCGGGCGGCGGTAAATCGGGCGGCTGGAAGCCGGGCGGCGGTAAATCGGGCGGCCGTAAGACGGGTGGAGGGAAGCCGGGCGGCGGGAGGAGCTGCGGCCAAAGGGGTATGACGACTCGCCTTTGAGGGTCACGGAGGAGGAGACAGGGCGGCCGCTGCAGTCGTGGTACTGTCGGTTGATGTCCCACCAGCTGGGGACTAAGAGGGGGGGAGGGGAGAAGAGGGAAGAGGAGAAGAGGAGTGAGTAGGGGAGAAGAGGGTGGGGATAAGGGCGAGTCACGGAGGAGGAGACAGGGCGGCCACTGCAGTCGTGGCACTGACGGTTGATGTCCCACCAGCTGGGGACTGAGAGGGGGGGAGGGGAGAAGAGGGAAGAGGAGAAGAGGAGTGAGTAGGGGAGAAGAGGGTGGGGATAAGGGCGAGTCACGGAGGAGGAGACAGGGCGGCCACTGCAGTCGTGGCACTGACGGTTGATGTCCCACCAGCTGGGGACTGAGAGGGGGGGAGGGGAGAAGAGGGAAGAGGAGAAGAGGAGTGAGTAGGGGAGAAGAGGGTGGGGATAAGGGCGAGTCACGGAGGAGGAGACAGGGCGGCCACTGCAGTCGTGGCACTGACGGTTGATGTCCCACCAGCTGGGGACTGAGAGGGGGGGGCACAGGAGGGAGGGGTTGACAGGAGGGAGAGAGAGCGAAAACGGGAAACAGGAAGCTCTTGAGAATGTTCTTCTCCCGAGAACGGGCCGCACAGGGCTGGGCGCACTGTGTGGGGCGGAGGAGGAGAGATGCACGCGCACACACACACAGATACCCACCTGTGTTTGCGGGATCGCTCCGGTCCGAGATGGATCGAATAAAGCTCCTCAATATGTTCTTCTGCGCTCTTGAAAACGGCCCAAACCAGATGAGGTAGACGCGGATGGGGCGATGCATCACCCCGCACAGGGCGGGACGCACGCTGCACGGCCACCTGTGACACCCCGCCTTCATTCCCCCCTTGGAGAGCGGCTTATTAAGAGGGGCACTATTGAGCGTGACATTATTGAATGGGACACCTTCAGCTGCTGTTACTGTTGCTGATGCCCCTGCTGCTCCTGCTCCGGCTGCTGCCGCTGCTGCTGCTGATGGCGCTGCTGTTGCTGCTGCTCCCGATGTGAAGTTCCCACTACTTTTATTTTGACCAGAACGCACGTTCAGCCTCGCAATTGCCGCCCTTAAATTTCCTCCCCCTGCTACTGCTACTGCTTCTGCCTCTTCTTCTGCTTCTGCTTCTGCCTCTTCTTCTGCTGGAGTTGCTGCTGCTGCTGTTGCTGCTGCTGGCGGTGCTGTTGTTGGGGGGAGTGAAAGGGGCTGCTTGGGTGCAGGAGCGGAGAGAGGAGCAGGAGGAGGAAGGGGAGGGGGAGGAGGGGCGGGCTGCTGGTTACCCGCTGCAGTGAGGGCGGCGCCGAAGCTGCGCCTCTTCCCCTGATACCTGCGGAGAAGGGGAAAAGGGGGAGAGGGAGCGGGGGGGGTTGAGGTGAAGGAGGAGTGGGAAGAGGTGGGAAGAGGACGTGGGAAGAGCTGCTGGTTACCAGCTGCAGTGAGGGCAGCACCGAAGCTGCGCCTCTTCCCCTGATACCTGCGGAGAAGGGGAAGGGGGAAGAGAAAGGGCTGTGGCGTGGGGAGGGGAGTGAGTGGGGGGTGGGAAGGGAAGGGGGGTTGGGTCGGGAGACGGAAAAGAGAGCAGTAGATTCGGGGGATAGGGGCGCAATCTGACGGTGCTGACGGTGACGGTGCTGACGGCCCTGACGGCGCGGATGATGCGATCCGTGAAACGGGACGACTTAAATCGAGTTTTGGTTTTGAGGCGTCTCAAGATAAGCGAAGCAATCTGACGGGGCTAAGGCCCTTCTCGGCGCTGATAATGCGATCCGTGAACGGAATGCCTTAATCGCTTGAAGGGAATAGCACGTGAAGAGGGGATGTGACCACGTGTGACCACATCTTAGCTGGTCGGAAGGAGCCAGCCCGTACCTGAGACGGTGAACGCCAACGGGAGTACGCCACGTGGCCGCGAGCCGGGGGGCCAATGAGAGAGATTTCCGCCTCGACTCGCCAGCAATGGCTCCTCTTTGTCGAGCCGCGGAGGACGACGCGAGAGCAATGGCTTCTTCTTGTCGAGAAACCGCCCGCCCACCGCCATTTCCTCTTCTCGGCGCGCGCTCGACTTGAAAATCATCGGCGTGATTGACGCCGCACATCACGGGGACGGCGGAAAGCAGAAGCGCCGCGAGGAGGGAGATCCGGAAGGCAGCGGCGGCGCGTCGCCGCGGCGCGTGGCGATGAGATCGGACGGAGACGAACAGACGCTTCTTATCTTGACCTACTAAATGAATAGTACAACTCATCTCCGATTTGGGTGCGTCAAGAGCGGCTTCCAGACCAGCCATCTTGGTTCGGGCCGAACCAGGAACCGATGTTAGAGCCACGCTCGAATCTTCGTTGATCGGCAATGGGTGAGTCTCGAGTCGAGATAGCTGTTAGCGCAGCGCCATTGTTTTTTGAGAATTCTTAAAAAAACATTCGAGACCGTGTTAAAAATTCGCGTGACACAAGCTCGCAAATCCGTTTCAAGAAACTCGCGCTTTCTAGAGTCCTGATAATAACCAACAAGGCGAGGGCAAGAAGGAGGAACGATAAAAATAACGCTAACAATGGAAGCTATCAGAGGGAAGGGGGAGCAGGAACTCGTTATTGCTCCCACTCGGAAAAAAAAAGAGTAAGCGGCGGCGGCGACGGAGGGAGCGAGCGATAGAGGAGATTGTCGCCGCCGACGCATAAATTCAGAAATGGAATCTAATGCCCGTCGTCTACGGTGCAGGCTGCTGACGGGAACCGGGATCATGAAAGAAATGCGTGATCCGAAGAAGCCTAGGGGGGGCGTGGTCCCGTATCCTGATTGCGACAGAGACCCATAGGCACAAGCTTGCTCCCATTCCCCATTGAACTGTTTGAGACGAGAGCGAAATTGATGATGAACAGAAAACAGCACACAGGGGATGAGGATGTGTGCGGTGCTTCTGCGCACCGTTTCTGCTTGATGCAGCTGCTTGCTGGACCATGGAAGAACCATGTCTATCTACGTGTACATCGGACATTCAGTATATTTAGGAAGAAAGAAAGACCATGGAATGGCGGCTGTGTGGCCTGAGGAGAGGAGAGGAGAGGAGAGGTGGTGCATACGAGCTGGCTGGCATGTGCATAGGAGTGTGGTGCGGTGTGGTGGTTTCCATTTGCTGATTACTTCTTTCACGAATCTTGCGAACGTTTCCTCGCGAATTGTGCGAAATAGTTTCCATCCCTTTTCCTCCACTGGCTGCTGCTCGCCAACATGTCGTTGAGATGGTGTGGCAAGTGGCAACGCTAACCATCCACACCACCACACACCCACACGATCAAATCACCATCCAGCCAGCCATGCCATTCCGCCACACATCCGCTCATCCACGATGGATCCATGTACAGTACATGTCCATAACACCATGCCTGACAGCCACTCATTTTCCCGGTCTCATGGGCAAATCCCAACGACCCCATAAGTCAATAAGACCATGCTCGTTTGACTAACCCAATGTTGCCTTGTGAAGGGGGCTCTTAAGTGATTCTTGCATTTCGCTAAGTTGTCGTCAATTCGCACTTAGCAAAAAGGGCTTATAAAAAATTTTGTAACTAGCCATTGACCATTTGACTTTGGTCTCTTCGGTCAAGCTATGTTTTGTGGTTCGTATTGGTTCAAATAGCTGCAACTTGCTAAAGGCGCTTGTAAGTAGGGTGCAACTGGCTGGCATTAAATACAACGCGTGCAGAGTATCTGGCGCCTGCAGGGCAAATTCGAGCGCAGCAGTTGAGCAACATGTGTACACAACGACGCGGGGGTGCAAGGGCTGAGTGGAGCTGGCCAATGGTGTTGCGTGACTCGCCACACTGGAGAGACTAGACAGCTAGGCACACAGAGAGTTGGTGAGGATTTTCAGGGATTCTCCATATACGACGAATATTTGCCAGGTAAGGGTGTGCTCGCGCGCGACCATGTTGGTCACTGTTTCCTTGTCAGGGCGGGTCAGAAATTGTAGAGCGGACATACTGTACACGGTAAACCGTTCCAGAGCGCACACCATCGTAGTCAACCGTAACAATGAACAGAAATGCACGAATGGGGCACCCTGCCCTGGTGTGCTGTGGCACGCTGGCATGGGCGGTTTCCGGATACCCTTTGTAAGACATTGTTCGTGTACCTCCTCAATTCAATCCCGGCTATATGTAGACAGCATGTTAAATAACATTCTTCATTACTAATGAGCCGTCGAAGGCTCTAGCGTCCTCGTCACCTAGTTTTGAGTGGAAAATACCAGCACCCAGTTATTTTGATGATTGAAATTGTATCAGGATGGAACGCTTGTGGTTGAAACAAGAGATAAGGAGAGACCAAGTAACCAGGGCAGAGGCTTCTAGTATCCAAACCAAATAAGACACACTCACAAGCTTGCAGTTACCCGAATTTTACATGCATTACCATCCATGACCAATATCAGCACGCCAGGAGTGGGGCAGCGGGGATGGGCAAGGCACCCAACACAACGCCGCTTTATTTGCATGCACGAGAAAGAGATTCTGCTCTTCCTCAAGATGCTACAGCCCAACACACCAACCACCGGCACGCGGATGCAACCCACGTATGAATTTTCTTACGGCTTGGCCATAGTTGCATCCTGAACCGCCTTTTCCGCATCCAGAGCGCGCGTAAGGCCTGCCTTGGCGCGATCCGCCAGCTGCACGACGCGCTTATCCGCTGCCGCGCGGCTCGCCTTCACCGCCACGAGGTTCGCCTTCGCCGCCGCCAGCGCCTTGACCTGCTTCGTCATGAAATTGTCGAGCGCCGCAACCGCGTCGTTGTAGATCGCAACCGCGTCGTCGTACGCCTTCTGCGCCAGTGCGACGTCGTTCGTCGCGTCGTCCATCGCAGACTTGAAAATATCAACGTTCTGGGGACCCAGATTAACGAGCCTCTGGTAGTTATCCTGTGCCTTGGCGAGTTTCGCCTTCGCGCGTTCCGCCTGGCTCTCGATATCCGGGAGAACCTCCTGCACGGACGACTGAACGGCCTGCGCTTCGTCAATAGCCGCCTTATTCACCGGCGACGGGTCTTTATCGTACGCTGACAGCGCATCCTTGATCGCCGCCGCCGCGTCCGCGAGGACGTTGTGCCATTCGTCGAGCAGCGCAGCGGTCATTTTTACACGGCGCGTCGCGTCGTTGACGGCCTTAACGGCGGCGGGGAGCTCGGGATGGGTGGTGGGATCGAGTTGCGCTTGGATGTAGGCCTGCTTGCGCAGAGATAAGATTCTGTTCGCGTCGTCGAGGTCGTACTTCGCGCCATCCATGGCGTCTTTCATGCTGTCCAGCGTGGCGCGGAGATTATCCGCGGTATTGTCATTCTCGATAGCGGAGATCGCGGCGGCAGCATCGGCTTCGTCCTGAGCTTTTTGCGCAGCGACGGCTTGCGCGGCCTTGAGATCCGCGGCGTATGAGTCGGAGGCGGCTCTGAGCTGCTTCGCTCGGGTGACGAGGTAAGAGCTTTGCGCATGCGAAGACGGGAGGATAGTGAGGAGGATGAGAAGGCTCACAGCCGCCTTTGCCTGAAACGCGTGGAAAAATACCGCTGCCATGATGGTTTAGCTGGTGGGAAGTTAGGCTGGGAAGTGAGGCAGTGGAGTGATAAGCCAACTGGAGGAATTAGGACTGATGTGAGATGAAGAGTGAAATCCCCATTTGTATGAAATGTCGATTTCTGAAAATAACCAGTGGCGAATCGCGTTCGTATTCGGGCCGCGTGCTGACTTGGGAAGGGGAGAATTGGGGGATGCGGGGACCTGTACCAGAAACATACATGATTGTGGTTTTGTGGGATGCAACAGGTTCAGGAAACGAAACATGGTACTACAAAACGGTGGAGTCAGGTTGGTGCACTTTGTGTTCCAACAGCCTCGGGTTGTTTGTGGAGGGCTTGAGGTTCGTTTGGTAGGGCTTCACTGTGCTCCGCGACAGGTCGCGAACCATTTCTGCGCGGTGTCATATGAGATACCTTCTCTACGGTACGATGCGACTTTGTACGTTTAAGTACGGCATTGTTACACTTCTTCACGTTGGGGTACGATTCCAAGCAAAATGGAACGGATGTGTATTGGGGAGATTCGGGTCATTAGCGCGCGCCATGCCAGCTGTTCGTCCTCCAAACGCTAGCAGGGGGACGGTGGAAATTGGTGGATGATGGTTGCCTCCCACACTTGGCGAACCGCATGAATTGGTAGGTCTGCTAGGGGGGGAAACATGCTTGCGAAACGCTTATGGAATGACCAAAATTCGCGATACTGGGTGCTTGACTTCGAGTTTTGTCCTTTCCTTGACCATACATGCCCTTGACTACTTCTAGAATATGAATAAATATGAAGCTGTAAAAAAATGTTGTCAATAAAACTCATGGTAATAAAAATGTATGATTATATGAACCGCGCGTACTGCACACTTAAAAAAGTGAAGGGTACAAATAATAGGGGCATATTTCAAATAATTTGTGGAAAGCTTCTATATGGATGTGAGCACACTGAGCATGCAGCTGATATATACTAGTGTGTTTGGACGGATGTAAATGTTAGAATATTATCCTTAGGGTTTGGGGTAGCATGAGCGAGAGGAACAGGAAGGAAGAGGAGGTTCACTACAGCAAGGTTACAAGATATAGCAAAGAAAGGTGAGCACATTGGTGCACCACCAACAAGTTACTGTAGCTACACTAGAACACACAGCAAGTAGTAAAGTAGCATGCTGCTCAAGATAGCACATAATAGTCCTGGAAGGTGATAGTTCTGCTTCCGAGTACAACTCCAGGATGTTAGGACGTGTCCTACCTCTTCTATATCAGATTTGGAGTGAAATGTGGGTCAATAGCTTACTTCCCTATCAAGATAATGTAACATCTCCAAGAGCTACGGAATGGGAAATGGGGTTAATGCCATTGATCTGTGGTAACAAAATTATGTGTGGATGACCAATAAATATGTTTTATGCTGCTGCAAGGTTTAACAAACAGACTGAACCTTGTTTTCAGAGAGGATGCTAAGAGCAAAGATTATAATAAAAACCCACCCGACATGTGAATCAACTTGTCAGACCTTCCCAAGCAGAAGCGCTGCGAGGACATACATCAACCTAATCGATCCTCTTATTAGAAAGCCTCCGTGCGGCTCGACGAGCAGGCCTTCATCATCAGCGTTGCGCTGCAAATTCGAATGCGCAGTTCCTGAACCCAGACGCCTTTTTAGAAACCAGATGCGTTTCCATCGCAAATTCTCGGCCAATCCAACCTTGCCATCTCAATTCCCTACCAAGTGTGACCTTTCGTCTTCGCTTCCTTCTCCGCGTTATCCGCGTTCCCCTTGGCGGCGTCCGCGCGCGCCTTCTTCGTCGCCACCACGCGCTCCTGCGCCGCGCGCGCATTGGTCTTGGGCGCCAGCGCCAGCTTCGCGTCCCGCTGCGCCTTCACCTTCGTGTTGTACACCACCCCCGCCGCTTTCACCGCGGCATCCAGGTTCTTCGTCTTTCCGATCGCCTTGTTGAAAAACGCGTTCGAGTCGGCCTCGTCCTGCTCCGCCTTTTCCTTGACCTTCTTCTGCACGTCCGCCGCGCCGCGAGTGTCGCTCTTGTCCTTCTTTTTCGCGTCGCTTTCCGCCTGCCTCTCTGACACGCGCTGGACGGCGCGGTCGGCTTGTTTCTTCACGGCGCCGAGAATGCGATCCGCCTGGAGCTTTACATTGTACATTTCCGTCTGCAGCGCCTTGGCCTCTGGCGTTTGGAGCCGCGCCGCTGACCGAGCCGCGGCGACGGAGTCGTTGTAAGCCTCGTTCGAGATTTTCTGCTGTTCGGTTAGCACGACGGCGGTGGTGTTTTGGCGGTCGATGGCGTCTTGCACGTCTTTGGCTGCTTCGCTCTCTTCGAAGATGGCTTCTTCGGCTTGCGACTCGAGGTCATCGTAGTACGAGCGCTCGTCGATAGAAGCCTGCTTCGCCTGAATCAGCGCCTGACGCGCCGTTTCCTGCTCCGTCTTCGCCGCATCGAGCGCGGCGCGCTTGTTGTTGAGATCGGTCGTGGCAGCGGCGACATCCGCGTCCGCAGACGCCGCCTTTTGCGCGAAAGGCGCTTCTTCCGCGAGCCGCTGCTGGAGAACGGCGTTGGCGGCGTCGAGATCCGCTTGTGCGGCGTCCGCGATGCCGCGAAGCTGCTTGGCTTTGGTCACTAGGTACGGCTCAGCAGCGGATACGACGGTTGTGGAAACGCATCCCACGATTAAAAGAATCGCGACCGCCCGAAGAACGAACCCCATGATTCCGCTCAAAGGGGTACTCGGGGCGCCTCGGAACCGATGTGTGCCTGTGTTTCAAGTTGGAGGCTGTGTCACTAGCAGTATCAGTATCTGCTTGCCAAGTTGTAGAATTCGGGATGCTAGGCGAGGAGCTAGGCAGTGGCAGGCGTGCGAGGCGTGTGGGACGTGTGGGCTGTAAGTGGAGCTAAGGTAGTGAAGCTTTCTTGCTCACTCTGTTTTCGAGTAATGCCGAATGAGGCACCACTAACTTATTTGTCAGAATGCCGAGGGGGTGGTTGGTGAGGAGGAGTTCAAGCCTCGCCCCTGGATAAGCAATTGGGAAGCTTTGGCAGCGCGATTGATAACTGCTCATGCACCAATTTCCACTGGGATTCCATGTGTGAGCTGTGGTTGGAAGCGTCGCGGCGCGCATGTCGCATGAGCGCCTCGTTCGTCGCGATTCGGCTTCATCATCAACCAGGTAGGAATTTCGAACCCGCTTACGTGTCTCCAAGAGCACATCGCAGGTACGGGGATGAGGGGTCAGATTTTGCTGATGGAAAGATTGTGCTTAGCTGGCGTTCCACAGGTGGTTGGGCTATTATCCACGATCAGCCACAGCGGAACCTGTCTTTGTCGCTCGAGTCGAGTCGTGCAATTGTGCACATGTTGCACCATATGGACCCCTCACGCAAGAATTAAATTAAATTGATTTGGTTCACAAAAAACGAGGGACCAGTTATACTGTACTCGCTAGCATAACTACGCTACAATACGCACCACTACTAGACGCATATGTTATGTTTAACCACTACTAGAGTTGTGTGCAGTGGGGATAGCACATTGCAAGAGAGCCTACAAGAATTTACATTATTCAAAGCCAGCCAACAGCCACTGAAAGAAAACACCTTGTGATTGGTAGGGGTTCTTAGCCGCTAGCTACAAGGCAATGGCATTTCGTGATATAGCAACCACTTTTCTGTGCAGTCTCGGTGCCCTAATCGTCCCAAACCTATATGATCGGTGCTCCAAGCCTCCTCTCCACGGCCACTAAAGTCACCACTGTCACCTCCACAACCCAACCTCCCTCGAAATTCAGGTGCCCTGGACAATCCATTGATGCTAAACATTATCAAGGCTCTACCATGAAACCATAAAACTCCAAGTGCAAGCTGCTGGAGAAAGCTCTACGCCTAACTCAGTCCTTGGCCTCAACCTTCCCAGCACCAACCTCCTTCCAGTTTGTTGACAGCACCGTGCCTTTTGATTCCACCTGCACCAAGCAGAGATTGGTGCAACACACAGAGAGGTTCAGGAGGGGAGATTGGGGATGTTGAAGGGGGGGAGGGAGGGGGGGGGGGGGGGGGGGGGGGGAAGGGGGGGGGGGGGGGGGGTTTGGTAAAAGAGAGCGAAAAAAGCCGGATGATTACTGTACTGAGATGAAAACACCATCACAGGTGAGGGACACTCGAACGAGGTGACTTTTGAGTCGACTCAAAAGTCACCTCGATGAAAACACCATCACAGGTGAGGGACACTCGAACGCATCTTGGTCATGGCGTTGCGTGTATTTTTGAGACACCTAACGAATAAATTCGAGCCAGAAAAATAAACTAAGAGACTTGATGTTGGTGTGGAAAGGATCGGGTAGGGGAGGGGAGGGGAGGGGAGGGGAGGGGAGGGGAGGGGGGGGGGGGGGGGGAGGGGGAGGGGGGGATGAGACAGAGGGCAAGGGACTAGAAGGGGGAGTAAGGGCGGGGTGCACTAACGAAGGACCTGTTCATGGCACGGCGTGTCTCCTCGTCTACCCCCCCCCCCCCCCCCCCAGATTTCTTGAGAGAAGCAAGAAACGTGAGGGAGAAAATTGAGGCTTTAAGGGAGAGAAGCACTCACATAGGACTTGTTCATGGCGCGACGGGTCTCCTCGTCCGCCCCTGCATAGATGTCTTGAAGAGGCAAGAGATGAGAGGTGGAAGAGGGGCTTCTAGGGCGAAAGGCACTCACGAAGGACTTGTTCATGGCGCGACGGGTCTCCTCGTCCGCCCCTGCGTAGATGTCTTGAAACAGCTTGTTCAGTGCAGCGTCTCCCTCCAGCTTCTCATCCTTCTCCTGTTAATTGACATTACAGGACAGAGCAAACGGAGGTAGAGCACGAGAAGCTTCATCACGTCTTTCGTTGCCACAAAAACTCCAGAGCGCCTTGATGTGGCGCTCATTTTATATCAGACAGTGTATCGTCGCCTTGATTATGACTTGGGTTGACCTGGGTTGACTCAAGCAGATTCCCTCCGCCTTGACGTCCGCTTCCAGCTGGTCCCAGTTCACATGCTGCTTGCCTGCTGTACCGTTGTTCACTGACCAGCGTTGACCTGCGTTGACCTGCGTTGACTGGCATTGACTCAGCTCACCTCTGCCTTGACGTCCGCTTCCAGCTGGTCCCAGTTCCCATGCTGCTTGACTGTTGTACTGTCTGTCATTGACCTGTATTGACCTGTGTTGACCTGTATTGACCTGCGTCGACTTGTCCTACCTCCGCCTTCACTTCTGCCTCCAGCTGGTCCCAATTCACATGCTGCTAACCTGCTGTGACCTATGTTGACCTGCGTTGACCTGCGTTGACTGGCATTGACTCAGCTTACCTCTGCCTTGACCTCTGCTTCCAGCTGGTCCCAATTCCCATGCTGCTTGACTGCTGTACTGTCTCCGCCTTCACTTCTGCCTCCAGCTGGTCCCAATTCACATGCTACTAACCTGCTGTGACCTATGTTGACCTGTGTTGACCTACGTTGACTTCCATTGACTCAGCTTACCTCTGCCTTCACCTCCGCCTCCAGCTGGTCCCAGTTCACATGCTGCTTGCGCGACGAAGGATACATGTGCTTCAGCTTCTCCGCGGTTTCTGATGGGCGGAAAGCAGGAACGGGGCATGGAAAAAAGAGGAAAAGGGAAAACAGGGAAATGGGAGGGGAAAAAAGGAAGGGGCCGGCGAGAAAAGGAAAAGGGGAAACAAGGAAATGTGGCGGCCGGGGGGGGGGGGGGGGAGTGGAAGGGGAAATAAGTCACTGCATGGGCAATGGCAAAGAGACACGACAATTCAAGGAACAAGTTTTGAGATTTCGCAAAACACGGGGAAAAGAGGGAGAAGGGAAACAGGGAAATGGGGGAGGGGGACGGGGAGTGGAAGGGAAAAAGTCTCTGCATTGCAGGTCAATGGTACATGCTGCCAGACTATACAGGACTTCTTCAGCTTCTCCTGGAAAGATTTGACAAGGAAAAAAGAGGTCCGGGTCCCTTTGTCAAATCTTTCCCACAACCCACACACCCCTACCCCGCCCCAGCCCATCCCACCCCCACCCCACCCCATCCCACCCCATCTCCCCCACCCCACCCACCATCGGACACGTTCACAGGCTGCACCACAGCCGGCCATCTGGTTGCCTCCAGGGCAGATTAGTGAGTGGCCTCCGCCTTTGCCGTCCCTACTCTCTCCCCCACTCCCTGCTACCATAGCCTTAACACCCAACAACAACCCACAACAACCCCCTGCATCCCACCCCACCGCATCCCACCCACCATCGGACACGTTCACGGGCTGCACCACAGCCGGTCGTCTGGTGGCCTCCAGGGCCGTCCAGCGAATGGCCTCCGCCTTGGCCAGTCGCACCTCCACCCCCTTAACTGTTATCATAGCCCCACACCACCCCACCCCACCGCACCCCACCCACCATCGGACACGTTCACAGGCTGCACCACAGCTGGCCTTCTAGTCGCCTCCAGAGCCGTCCAGTGAATGGCCTCCGCCTTGGCCAGTCGCACCTCGATCTTGGTGCTCATCAGCACGTGCTTGCTCTTTGCCGGGTCCACCTAAGAGGGAGGGATTAAAAAAGGAGGGGACTGGGTGCCTGTATAAGTGAAGGCCTCTTTGCCTCCTCCCTGCCTTGGCCAGTCGCACCTCCACCTTGGTGCTCATCAGCACGTGCTTGCTGTTTGCTGGGTCCACCTGGGTGGATGAAACGGGAATGAAGATGAAGGGGGAATGGTGGAGGGGTGCTGTGTGCCTCATTAGTGAATGGCCTCCGCCTTGGCCAGTCGCATCTCCACCTTGGTGCTCATCAGCACGTGCTTGCTCTTTGATGGGTCCACCTGGGGCCACAAAAACAAGCGGTGGAAAGGGGTGCTGAGTGGCTTACAAGTGAATGGCCTCCGCCTTGGCCAGGCGCACCTCGATCTTAGTGCTCATCAGCACGTGCTTGCTCTTTGCGGGGTCCACCTGAAAAGGAAAAGGCGAGGCAGTAGGGGTGGGGAGTCGAAAAGGGGGGTGGGGGGGGGGTGGGGGTAACCAGTGGCTCAGGAGTGAATGGCCTCTGCCTGCCTTCGCGACGCGCATCTCCACCTTGGTGCTCATCAACACGTGCTTGCTCTTTGCCAGAACTGCCTGAAGGGAGGGGAAGGGGATGCGGGAACGAGTCAGAGGCCAGTCGCCTACAAAGCCACATAATTTTTTCCACTCCTTTAATAAATCCCCCTCCAACACAACACCACCCCCCCTCTCCTCCTCCCCACCCCCCTCCCCTCCCCCCCATTCCCCCCCTTCCCCCCTCCTCATTCCATATCAACCCCGCCTCCCTCTCTTAACCCCCTCCCAACCCGCACACTCCGTTTCAACACACACCTTTCCGAACAGCCGCAGCTGCAGGACATATGGCGGTACACTCCCTCTCGCCCCCCTCCCCTCCCATCCCACCCCGACCCCCTCCCCTCCCATCCCACCCCCCACACTCCGTTTCAGCACACACCTTTCCGAACAGACGCAGCTGCAGGACATATGGCGTCAGAAATGAGTAGTATCTGCCGTTTCAACACATGTGCTGACACATCCCATCCCGCCACACCACCCTCTCGACTCCTCCCATCCCCTCCCACCCCCCACACTCCGTTTCAGCACACACCTTTCCGAACAGCCGCAGCTGCAGGACATATGGCGGCTCGTCATTGGTCGATTCGATCACCACACTAAGCTGCACAGACAGCAGCGGAGGTAGGGGCGAGTGGGCATGGACAGTGGACGGAAGAGGGGTACAACATGAGGAATACACGGGAGAACACAGGGAAAAGGGAAGCTTTTATACATGAGAGGAATGGTTGAGAGGGGTTGCGTGGGAGAGAGAGTGGCTGGGAGGGGACCGGGCATTGGCAAGCAGGCATTGACAGTGGAGCGGGGCAGAGGCAGGTAAATCGCTGGGGAAGCAGCAGAAAGCACACACGAGAGGTGTGCTTAAGAGGAGTAAATGAGAGAGAATAATGGAACCCAGAACACCTCGACGGAATGAAACTCACCACTTGCTCTCCGATCTGCACTTTCAGTTGTTCCGATGAGATTCCCTTGGCAAACACAGTCACCACCACTGTTGTCGCCGACTGATAAAACTCGTGCCTGGGAACGAGAAGAAAAAAGAAAGGACAAAGAGAGGAGAACAGAGAGGAGAACAGAGAGGAGAACAGAGAGGAGAACAGAGAGGAGAACAGAGAAGAGGACAAAGAGAAGGACAAGAGAAGGACAATGAGGTGGGGAGAGAGGAGGGCAGGATGGAGATGAAAAATGCTGCTGGGCTAATCTCGGACCTCAGCTAGCAGTTTCACAGTTATACACTACACCAACTGATTCCAATATTCTCACCTGTATTTCGGAGGTGCTGGTGCCGGTGCTGCTGCTGGTGCTGGAGAAGGGACAGGAGCAGAGGGGCCAGGCGCAGCAGAGGCAGTGGGGACGCGGGCAGGAGCTTCAGACGCGGATGCGGCAGCAGAGGGGGCAGGAGCATCAACTGCCATATCTTCGTCTGTGTGAAAGAGTAGGGAAACAGTAAGAGGGTGGGGAAAACAGAGGGACGAGAGATGGGCAGAAATAAGAGGGCGGCAGCGGCACAGCCTAGCGATTTCTGAGTCGACTGCAAAATCGGCTCCAGCTTGGCCCTCAAGGTTCTGCCTCTAAGTTCTCCCTCGTCTTGCCGAGGGAGTCTTAAACTAACCACTGAATTCCCCTCTCACGGTTCACCCCACCTTGGATCTGCAGCCCCACCTCTGCCTTGCGTTATTAAGCTCCAGCTTGGCCCCAGCTCTTATGCTTTACAAACACCCTCGTTACAAGCACCCTCGGTTTCCCTCACACACGCTCACCCACCTTGGCTCTGCAGCTCCGCCTCTGCCTTGCGAATGCCGTTCTTGAACTTGGCGTTATTGGGCTCCAGCTTGGCTCCCCAGCTCTTTTGCTTTACAATCATCCTCGTTACAAGCACCCTCGTTTCCCTCACATGCTCACCCACCTTGGCTCTGCAGCTCCGCCTCTGCCTTGCGAATGCCGTTTTTGAACTTGGCGTTATTAGGCTCCAGCTTGGCTCCCGCCTTGAACGCTGCCAGTGCTGTTTCATACTCCTCTAAGTGGTGACAGGCGACGCTGGGGAAGAGGGGTGGGAAAGGAGGGGGGAGAGAGACATCAATGTTAGCAGACTCGTTATAAGGCTCCAGGTTGGCTCCCGCCTTGAACACTGCAAGTCCTGTTTCATACTCCTCTAAGTGGTGACAGGCGACTCTGGGGAAGAAGAAAAAAGAAGGGGCAGGGAGTTAGCAAAAACGAGGAATAACAAAAAGCGCACACACTGACACAGGGGTAAACCCACACCAGCAACAAATAACCTGGATACAGATGCATAAAATACGTTCAGAAACGACGAACAGTTGGAGTGAGCGGGGAAAGAGAGTGGATAAGATGAACAGGTCAACATAAAGGATTTGTAAGCTACGCACCCTTTCCGCAGGTACGCCAGCGCGTGAGACGGGTTGAGCTTGATCGCCGCATTTGCATCTGCCACCGCATCTGCCAGAACATTAAACAAACATCCGATTTCATTAACGACTCAAACATCCACGCAATCCCTGGATCTGCCACCGCATGCGGGGAAAACACAAAACAAAGCAATAATGGTTCTTATCACGTCAAAACCGAATTCAAAACCGAATTCAACATATCTTCTCGTCACATCCGCGCTCAGCCAGCAGAAACTACAAGAGAGATCGAGAAGGACTTAAAAAACGCCAAGCAGCCGTTGCTGAACTCAGCCGTCGCGACGAAACTGTTACAAGAAAAGCTCAGGTACGGTGTACAGATTTATTAATATAGAAACCACTCATGAGGACACGAGAAGCACCTGTGAAATTCTCGAGCTTAATGTGCGCGGCTGCGCGTTTGCACAGAAGATTCTCCGTCGCGCCATTCGCGTTGATCGCCTGCGTGTAGAGATCCACGGCCGCGTCGTAGTCCTCGTCAACAAACTGCGCGTCGCCTTTCGCCGCAAGCTCCGCCGCCGCTTGCGGTCCACTCGGCAGCTCCTCGATGATCATGGCTGCGTAGTAATAAAGATTATCGGTTCACTTCGCTCCCGATGCACTAAAGCTAGTCGATGAATATCAGACGAGGTGATGAAAGACGAAATGGGAAATGAGTTCCAAACAAACTTCAGCAAACGGAACGAACAGACAGACGACTTCGTGCCGTTCGACTGGCTAGGGAGAACTCGAAAGGCCTATCAAAAACGAGGCTCCTATCAGAGGTGTCTTGTAAGTAAGAAAGGAGCCTCATCAGTTATGAAAGCACATCCGTAGCAGGGATGGGTCCGCCATAGATTTTGCCGAAAGACGGACCAAAACGTTGGCGGAATTGGAGCGTTTTCCACACGTCAACGACACTGGCCTTGGCTGTCAGAGTTTCGCTAATCTGCCCACCAATGAGGTATGTGGAAGGTTCGCGAAACAACGACGTGTATTTGATTCTGATTTAGAGTAGCTGCGGAAGACAAACGAGGACTTGCGTTTATCGAGCTTCTCTACAGCAAAGAATGGAGGACGAGAAGGGAGTGGTTTCGAGGCTGCCGAGTCAGCCGGTCATTGATCCCCCAAATTGTGGGAGCTGTCGACGTGGCGGAAAAGATCTTCCCGCTTTCGCTTTCCAGCTCCCACATAACATCATCGGACGAATCAGACAGCCTCGATATTCACCCGGCTATGCACCTGACGCTTTTCCTGTCTAAAAGGGGCTCCAAACTCCTTTCGGCATTCCCCAATGTCTGGTTCGTGCTCTGGGCTGGTTGGTCCCCTGACCCCACACCCTAGGAAACTCCATCCAGTCCGGCTGATCTATCTTCTGAAATTGGAACAATATCAGAGGAGGGAGGGGTTCACAGGCAGAGGAAAACAGAGGCATCGCAGGACTCGCAGCTGAAAGGCAGCTACAATAGCACAAGCTTATCTGGTTCTTTTCAAAGAAGCCTAAGCTTCTCATTGCTGTGATTGAAGCTCTCTCAGGGGGTTGCCTGGAAGGTAGGGCCTGAATCTTCGGATTTAGCCGCCGATCTCGGACGCTTCATAGTGCGGACACTTAGCGAGTCTAGCACGTGGAGATAATGGAGTGCCTTCGAGGCACATTGAGCAGCACCTCAGTGCAACCAGTTGCTCTGCAGGGCCTGCGATCCAGCAGAAATTCCTCCAAGCTCTCCGTTCTCGGACTGTCCAGTCAGCTTCCCAATGCTCTTAGGGCTCAATATGGCAATTACATTCGCTCCGTAGCGGAAAAACAATTTCATAAATCTTCCGTTAGAGCCACGGCAGTGAGTGTGGCCGCAGCAGTTGCTGCAGGAAGCAAGGTGAAAGTGCGTTTCAATCTCCCGATTCAGGTTAAATTTGGGGAGAGCATTGCGGTTGTCGGATCTGCTGATTGGCTCGGGTCCTGGACCGATCCGAAAACCCTCCAATGGAGCGAAGCCGGCTGGAGCATTACCCTTGACGCGCCTGCAGGTCAAGACGTGGAGTTCAAATTTGTGATTGTAAAGAACGGGAAGAGCGCCGTCTGGGAGGACGGCCCTAACAGGAAGGTGACTGTTCCGGGGGTTGAGCCTCGCGGGAAAGAATTCAACACCGATATCGATTGGAACAAAACCGCTGCAACCCTGTCGTGGGAGGTTACTAAGGAGGATATAGAGGAATCTTATAACGAAGCTCCAGTCGGCGGCGACGGCGGGTCCGAGAGCGAGGGGGAGTTTTCATCCGCGGAAGACGGGGTGGAATTGGAGGAGAGTGCGTTTGCGCAAAAGTGGGCGGGAAGGGGTGTGGAGTTCATGCGGAGCAACGCGCACAAGAGCGAGAGGCGCGGCCGGTGGGACACGAGCGGGCTCGACGGGCCGGCTAAGGCGCTGGTGGAGTCTGATAAGAGCGCGGGGAACTGGTGGCGCAAGGTACGAATGGTTCCTGATGGTACGGTTGACACGGACGGAATGACTGACACTGACTGACCGTCGACAGTACGGTTGACGATGTGGACGGCACGATGAAGCCTAATAGCAGTACGATTTACAGTGACGGTACGATTGACGCTGACGGTACGAGTGACACTGACGGAACGATTTGTGCTCACGGTTAGCACTCATGGTACGATTGACACTGACGTTACGTTTCGCACCAACGATACAAAATACACCGGCTTAACGATCCGAAGGTGACGGTTCGACGACACCGACAGAGGGCACAAACGGCATTGAGGGTACGAACGGCGGTACGAATGGCATTGAGGTTACGAACGGCACTGAGAGTACGAATGATATCGACAGCACGAAGAGTACGGACATAATAATTCCATAGAGTATCACGTAGGTTATATCCTGGGCGGTAAGAATAATGACGACTGATCCTATCAGTGGGTTTCGGTCGCATGTCGTTGTAGGTTAACGTCATTGCTGGCTGAATGACTTACGTTTCTACGCGAAAATCGTGCCAAGAAACTCAGTTTTCGTCTTACCTCAAACCGTCTCAGACCCTTCTAAATCTCTACAAACCCCTCCATGTGCCGTCATGCAGCTGGAGGCAGTGGAGAAGCTCCTATTGCCGTTGGAGCGGGGTCAGCGCCTCGATGCCATGATTTACGCGTCCATCTACCTGCAGGTATGCCATACTTCACGCCGTCCATTCTCGTTTCAAACATTGTGGAACTATTGTTCAATCTCAGCACCTATATTCCAGTCTGCATGCGCTGCGGCTTTTCCCCTTGCCTCCCACCACCTCCCCATTTCCCATCCTCCGATAGTTTTTTTCGGGGTTCAATCCGGGATAAAATACTAAACCCTACATTGGATCGACAAGAGGCAGATCCCGTGCGTGCAAGTCAGAGGCACAGTGCAAGCCAAACCCCAAAATCTGCCCCTCATGCGATTCCTTATCGCCGCGCCTTCCCCATGTCCCCTTTTCGCGCTCACCGGAAGTGGATTAGCACGGGGCAGACCCCATGGAGGACGGCGGGCACAGGCTACAGGCCCCTCTAAACCCGAACATACGCCCCCACCGTTTCCCTCACCTCCCCGCACCTCTCCACACCTCACCGCACCTACACGCACCTCTCAGCTGTCCCAACCACCGCAGTGGGTCAGCACAGGGCAGATCCCGCACGTGGAAGGCGCTGGGTACAAGCCACTGGCCTCTAAAACCCGCCAAACTCCTGCAGTGTTCCTCATGTCGCCCAATCCTTCCCCACGCTTTTCCCCACACCTTTCCTCCGCAGTGGATCAACACGGGGCAGATCCCGTGCGTGGAGGACGGCGGGCACAGGCCGCAGGCCAGTTAAACCCGCTCAAACCAAACAATCGTTCCTCATGTCCCCCTACCGCTCCCCACACCTCTCCACCGCAGTGGATCAACACGGGGCAGATCCCGTGCGTGGAGGACGGCGGGCACAGGCGGCCCAACCGCCACGCGGAGATCTCCCGCCGCATCTTCCGCTGGCTGGAGAAGGAGGGCACCAGGGGCTCTGCACTCTCGGCTGAGGTGAGTGTTTTTCTGTTATAAGAATTCTTGCCGAAGAACCAACCAACCAATTGCCACGCGGAGATCTCCCGCTGTATCTTAAGCTGGCTGGAGAAGGAGGGCACCAGAGGCTCTGCACTTACCTCAGAGGTAAGTGGTATCTTCCCAATCCCTCAGTCTCTCCCTCCTGGTCCTCCTCCCGCCGCATCTTCCGCTGGCTTGAGAAGGAGGGCACCAGAGGCTCTGCACTCTCGGCTGAGGTGGGTGTTTTTCTGTTATAAGAATTCTTGCCAAAAAACCCACCAACCAATTGCCATGCGGAGATTTCCCGCAGCATCTTTCGCTGGCTTCAGAAAGAGGGCACCAGAGGCTCTGCACTCTCGGCTGAGGTGAGTGCCGTGTGGTGGGTGCCGCGTGCTGTGGGAACCCCCTTGCGTTACCGTCCAAGGTACTTGCTGGGTGCCGACCACCCAGATTCTGCCACCCTGTTAACCCCCACTTAGCCCCCTCTTAGGGAAAAATGGTGATGCGCAAGATCCATCCGCGCCTGGTCGCCTCCTCATCTTGTGGTGCCCCACTCTGACCCGTCCACCCAGTAACTCACAAACTTCGCTCTGCCCGGCCCCCTCTTCCCCATCCATGCCTTTTCCTCTCCCCCAGGAGAAGGTGGTGATGCGCAAGATCCATCCGCGCCTGCCTGCCTTCTCTGCTGACTTCACGGCGTCGGTGCCCCTCACGCGCATCCGAGACATTGCCCACCGCAACGACATCCCGCACAAGCTGAAGGTATGGACGACAACAGTCCACTCAGAGCCCCCAAAGTGCGGTGCAGTGCTCTCAGAGCTCCTCCCAAGCAGTGGCATTGCGTCAAGAGGTTGGTGCCCCTCACGCGCATCCGTGACATTGCCCACCGCAACGACATCCCGCACAACCTCAAGGTGCGTTGCTTAGAAAGAGTTCACTCAGAGCCCTGTCTCGTGGTTTGGTGCAGCGCACTCAGAGCTCCTCCTAGAGTGTGCATTCGCACCTGCATTGCTTCAAGGCGTCGGTGCCCCTCACGCGAATCCGACACCCCCCCCCTCCTTCAAACAGCAAGAGATCAAGCACACGATTCAGAACAAGCTGCATCGCAACGCGGGGCCTGAGGACCTGGTGGCTACAGAGCTGCTGCTGCGCCGGGTCTTTCACCTTCTGTTGCCCTCCCCCTTCCCCTACTCCCCAACACTCAACCCCCCCAAACCCCCAACTCCCACCCAACCCCCCTCCTGAACCACCCCCATCTCCACAGCAAGAGATCAAGCACACGATTCAGAACCAGCTGCATCGCAACGCGGGGCCTGAGGACCTGGTGGCTACAGAGCTGCTGCTGCGCCGGGTCTTTCACCTTCTGTTGCCCTCCCCCTTCCCCTACTCCCCAACACTCAACCCCCCCAAACCCCCAACTTTCACCCAACCCCCCTCCCGAACCACCCCCATCTCCACAGCAAGAGATCAAGCACACGATTCAGAACCAGCTGCATCGCAACGCGGGGCCTGAGGACCTGGTGGCCACAGAGCTGCTGCTGCAGCATATCATCTTTGCTCACACTCATAGCACCAGGGCTGCTGCGCGTCATGGAGTAAACGCTTTCCCCTCCCCTCGCCATCCCCACTTCCTTCCCCACACCCACCCCGTGCCCACTTTTCCATTCCTAACCCCTCTCCCCAACAGCAAGAGATCAAGCACACGATTCAGAACAAGCTGCACCGCAACGCGGGGCCAGAGGACCTGGTGGCCACGGAGCAGCTGCTGCGCCGGGTCTTTCCCCTCCTGTTGCTCTCCCCTTCCTCTCACTCCCCAACACTCAAACCCCCTTCCTAACCCCCCTCCCACCCCCATCCCCCCCTTCAACAGCAAGAGATCAAGCACACGATTCAGAACAAGCTGCATCGCAACGCGGGGCCAGAAGATCTAGTTGCCACAGAGCAGCTGCTGCGCCGGGTGACGCGCACTCCGGGGGAATACAGTGAAGCCTTTGTGCAGCAGCTGAAGCTCTTCTACGCCGAGTTGAAGGACTTCTTCAATGCGAGCAGGTGGGTCACAGGGAGATAAGGCGAGAGAGAGGAGGATCTAGTGGCCACGGAGCAGCTGCTGCTCCGGGTCACTCGCACCCCGGGAGAGTACAGCGAGGCGTTCGTGCAGCAGCTGAAGCTGTTCTACGCCGAATTGAAGGACTTCTTCAATGCGAGCAGGTGGGTCACAGAGATAAGGCGAGAGAGAGGAGGATCTAGTGGCCACGGAGCAGCTGCTGCTCCGGGTCACTCGCAACCCGGGAGAGTACAGCGAGGCGTTCGTGCAGCAGCTGAAGCTGTTCTACGCCGAATTGAAGGACTTCTTCAATGCGAGCAGGTGGGTCACAGGGAGATAAGGCGAGAGAGAGGAGGATCTAGTGGCCACGGAGCAGCTGCTGCGCCAGGTGACGCGCACCCCGGGGGAGTACAGTGAAGCCTTCGTGCAGCAGCTCAAGCTGTTCTACGCCGAATTGAAGGACTTTTTCAACGCTAGCAGGTAAGTGGGATAGAGAGAGAGGGGGGTGAGTAGGAGGGTCTAGTGGCCACGGAGCAGCTGCTGCGCCGGGTGACGCGCACTCCTAGGGAGTACAGCGAGGCGTTCGTGCAGCAGCTGAAGCTGTTCTACGCTGAGTTGAAGGATTTTTTCAATGCAAGCGGGTGAGTAGGAGAGAGGGGATGGCTTTTATAGACAGAGCTGCTGCTGCTGGAGAGCATCCGGCCCTCTCTCTGGACCACACTGGCACGGCCATGCTTTATGGTAGCCCCGAAATGCACTCTTTTTAATTCACTGCCACACTGGACCCTCCCCTCCACACCGGCACAACCCTACCCCTTCCTTCTCACTCTCCCCGCCAGTCTGTCGGAGCTGCTGGAGAGCATTTGGCCCTCACTGGACGACACGGGCTCTGCCATGCCATGCTCGTTTGAAGCACATTGCAGCTTAGAGCAACCGCGCACACCTGCACAACCCTACCCCTTCCTTCTCACTCTCCCCACCAGTCTGACGGAGCTGCTGGAGAGCATTCGCCCCTCTCTGGACGACACGGGCTCTGCCATACCTGAGGTGGACCCTGAATGTACTCTTCTTTCCATGCACTCCCTACCCCTCCACGCCTACACCCCCTCCCCCCCCCCCCACGCCAGTCTGACGGAGCTGCTGGAGAGCATTCGCCCCTCTCTGGACGACACGGGCTCTGCCATGCTACAGAACTTCCTCGCGTGCAAGCAGGTAAGGGTGATGATTCAGGAGGTGCGGGTGAGAAAAATCAGCAGGTGGGATTGAGAGCTTAGCAGGTTCGAGACTTGTCAAAATTAGCCCCTCTCTGGACGACACGGGCTGGCTCTGCCATGCTGCAAAGCTTCCTCGCGTGCAAGCAGGTAAGGGGTGAGTATGCAGAAGAAGATGGCTTTCCTAGTGTGCAAGCAGGTGCGGGATCGAGACGTGTCACAACTCGCCTCTCTGCACGACACGGGCTCTGCCCTGCTACAGAACTTCGAGCAAACAGGGTGAGAATCAGTAAATGGGTCTCTCCGTGTGCAATCAGATGGTGAAGATTCATTAGTGCGCAAGTAGGCAGGGTGTGGCGGGGGTGGCAGGGGGTGGCAGGGGGTGGCAGGGGGTGGCAGGGGGTGGCAGGGGGTGGCAGGGGGTGGCAGGGGACAGCACAGGGCAGCAAAGGCAGCTTCTAATTAACTTCAATCAAGAAAAGTCTTCCGCGAGCTTATGATGATTCTCGAAAACTGCCTTCAAAAACTCGCTTCGTCCTCCCCCCCCTGCATTCCCTTGCAGTCTGTTGACGCGATCGATGGAGGAGCGGCACAAGGGGCGGCAGCAGGAGAATCGCCTCTCACAAACTCGCTTCCCCACCTTCCCCTCCCTCTGCATTCCCGCCCTTGCAGTCTGTTGACGCGCTGCCTTCTTCTGCCCTGGCAATCGACGGCGGAGCAAGAGCACAGGAGAGGGACAGCAGCAGAAAAGGTTCTAAAAAACTCGTCCCCCGCCCCTCTCCTCCCTTCTCCCACCCATTCCCCCTTCATTCCCACCCAGTCTGTTGACGCACTGCCCTCTTCTGCCCTGGCGATCGATGGAGGAGCAGCAGCACAGGGGCGGCAGCGTCCGGGCGGCCGACTGACGTGCTGATGTCAGCGCTGCATGCGCTGACGGGGCTGCGGGCTGTGCTGATGTATTCCCTGGAGAGCGGACTGAGGAACGACGCTCCTGATGAGGCCATTGCCATGCGCCAGAAGGTGTGAGAGAGGGGTGGAGGTGAGGGGTAAGAAAGGGCTCAGGGATGTAGGTGGAGGATGATGGGTGGGCTGCGGGCTGTGCTGATGTATTCCTGGAGAGCGGGCTGAGGAATGACGCTCCTGATGAGGCCATTGCCATGCGCCAGAAGGTGAGGGGAAGGTGGAGGGCCAGTGGGATGATAGTTGGGGAGAACAGAAACGTAGGTGGGGTTGGGGGGTGGGCTATGAGGTGTGAGCCATAATTGCTGACGGGGCTGCGGGCCGTGCTGATGTATTCCCTGGAGCGGGGAGTGAGGAAGGAGGCTCCGGATGATTCTTTGCCATGCGGCAGAAGGTGAGGGGAAGGGATGTGAGGTGGAATGATGGGATGGATAAAAGTGGGCTCTGTCATTTCCGTGTGGGATGGACTGCAAGTCGTGCTGCTATACTCCCTGGAGAGCAGGCTGCGGAATGACGTTCCTCATTATGCCATTGCTATGCAGTGGAAAGGGGGAGGGAACATTAATGTAGGTGTGTAAAAGGATATGGGCTGTGCTGCTGTTTTGATTGTGTCTGCTAGCGACGTGTCATGAGAGGGCGTGACTTTTACCTTGTGAGCACAGTGAGCTGACTCCGTCCTCTTGCTTCCCTGCCTCTCCCCTTCCTCTTTTCAACAGTGGCGACTGGCGGAGATCTGCCTGGAGGAGTATTTCTTCGTGCTGTTGAGCAGGTGAGAGGGGTCGCCATGGGCCTTGCATTCACTTTGCCTCTAGCTTGCAATGCCAGACATCTATAGTCGCCGAGGGGAGATCTGCCTTGAGGAGTGTTTCTTCGTGCTGTTGAGCAGGCGAGAGAGAGGGATCTGTCTCAGCACCTCATGAGTCGTGCTGCCCCAGCCTGACATGTCATTGCAATGCACTCGTTTGATCAGACTGTAAAGTATGCTGCTGCTCCACCCCACACTTAGCCATCTATCCCGTCCTGCACTCCGCTCTTCTGGCTCTTCCGCCCCTCCACCCCCATCTCCCTCCCACTGCTCCCCCCAGGTTCCTGAACGAGCTATTTGACGAGGAAGGGGGGGACAGGGCAGCGGAGGGCATGGCAGGGGAGATCCGCATGGGGCAGCTGGGGCACGTGGGGGTGGCGCTGGGGGCAGCAGTGCTGGGGCTGTCTGGTCACTCTCCTCTCATCTCCTCTACTCTCCTCTCCCCTCCTCCTAGGTTTCTGAACGAGTTGTTTGATGAGGAGGGGGGAGAGAGGGCGGCAGAAGGCATGGCAGGGGAGATCCGCATGGGGCAGCTGGGGCACGTGGGGGTGGCGCTGGGGGCGGCAGTGCTGGGGCTGCGGCACCACCTGAGGAGGCTGTTCAATGCCCGGCTTCTGCGCTCCTCTCTCCGTTTCTTTCCGCACTCACTCTACCCTTTCCTCACCTCACCTTCTCCATTGTCTCCCTCTCTCCTCTCCTCCCAGGTTTCTGAACGAGTTGTTTGACGAGGAAGGGGGGGACAAGGCAGCGGAGGGCATGGCAGGGGAGATCCGCATGGGGCAGCTGGGGCACGTGGGGGTGGCGCTGGGGGCGGCTGTGCTGGGGCTAAGGCACCTGGGGCTGTCCGGGTGGAACCAGGCGGAGTGCTTCTGCCTTGAGAACGAGCTCGCCTCCTGGCAGGCCGCTGGGATCGGCAGCGCAGGTGAGAGCTGGAATGAAACTCCTGACACCGTTATATAAAGGGCTTTAAAGAGGGTGAGGCACCTGGGGCTGTCCGGGTGGAACCAGGCGGAGTGCTTCTGCCTTGAGAACGAGCTCGCTTCCTGGCAGGCTGCTGGCATTGGCAGCGCAGGTGAGTGCAGGAATGAAAGCCTTGATGATGATACCCGTCAACCCCACCACCTTTATATGAATGGGCCTAGAGGAGGCCTGAGGCACCTGGGGCTGTCCGGGTGGAACCAGGCGGAGTGCTTCTGCCTTGAGAACGAGCTCGCTTCCTGGCAGGCTGCTGGCATCGGCAGCGCAGGTGAGCTGAAACCCACCACCTCGACCTGAAAGGGAAAGGGGCGAGGTACCTGGGACTCCTACTCGATATGAAGGGGTTCAGAGGAGTGCTGCGGCACCTGGGGCTGTCCGGGTGGAACCAGGCGGAGTGCTTCTGCCTTGAGAACGAGCTGGCCTCCTGGCAGGCCGCTGGCATCGGCAGCGCAGGTGAGGTGGAATTGGTACTCCTGACGTTGATACTGTCGATCTCACACCTTAGGTTAGTAAGGGAGGGGAGGAGGTGCCACAGGTGGGGGGGGGTCTGTCCGGGTGGAACCAGGCGGAGTGCTTCTGCCTTGAGAACGAGCTCGCCTCCTGGCAAGCCGCTGGCATTGGCAGTGCAGGTAAGAGCTGGAATGAAATTTCTGACACCGTTATTTTAAGGGCTTTAAAGAGGGTGAGGCACCTGGTGGAACCAGGTGGAATGCTTCTGCCTTGAGAACGAGCTCGTCTTCTTGCAGGCTGTTGGCATTGGCAGCGCAGGTGAGCTGGTTGCAACTCCTGTTGCTGCTGTTTCCCTCAACCTCACATCATGACTAGAAAGGGAGGAGAGGGGCTGAGGCACCTGGGGCTGTCAGGGTGGAACCAGGCGGAGTGCTTCTGCCTTGAGAACGAGCTCGCCTCCTGGCAGGCTGCTGGCATCGGCGGCAGGGAATGTGAGCTGAGCTGCTGCGAATGTTGTGCTAGAGAGTAAGGAGACTCTAGCTCAGATTGGGAGAATGCTTCGGTGCTGAGGCTCAAGGCACGATTTGAGTTTCACTTGCACTTCAAAACGCGCGCTGACACACACCTTCACTTTTTCCCGAACCCATTTTCACTTTCAACCAGGCGTGGCATCGGAGCATGATCTGCGGTGGTGGGCGCTAAGGCTCAAGGCTTCTCTGGACCGCATGAGGCGACTCACAGAGACCTTCATGCACATGCACGTATACATGAACAGAGACACATTCTGATACACACACGCAATACACTTCCCCCCCTCCCACGCCAGGCGTGGCATCGGAGCATGATCTGTGGTGGTGGGCGCTGAGGCTCAAGGCATCTCTGGACCGCATGAGGCGACTCACAAAGGCGTTCACACCGATACACGCACCAATGGACACCCCTTTCCACACATTGTCATGCATTGATCCCTCCCTTTCTTCCAATGCCAGCATTGGAGCATGACCTGCGGTGGTGGGCGCTGAGGCTCAAGGCATCTCTGGACCGCATGAGGCGACTCGCAGAGTCCTGTATACACACACATGCACACTGATATACACACACACACACCCACCTCTCCCCCCTTGTGCTACCAGGCGTGGCATCGGAGCATGACCTGCGGTGGTGGGCGCTGAGGCTCAAGGCATCTCTGGACCGCATGAGGCGACTCACAGAGGCCTTCACCGAGACCACGCTTGAGCTCTTCTTTGAGCCCTCGCAGGTGGGTGGGGTTGCACTAACGGTAATGTGAAGTGTGCAGTGTGCAGTGTGCAGTGGTACAGTGTGCAGCAGTTGAGTGTGCAGCAGTTGATGGGGGTGACTCTGACCGCATGAGACGACTCACAGAGGCCTTCACGGAGACCACGCTCGAGCTTTTCTTTGAGCCCTCGCAGGTGTGTGGGGTTGTGCTGTGCATCGGGGAGTGCTAATAGCACTGGGGCGCAGTGACTTTAGGTTCAGCAGCACTCACAGAGGCATTCACAGAGACCACGCCCGAGGCGTGCATGGGGGTGCGGGAACAGCAGTGTGCAGTGCTGCAGTGTACTGGCGGCGTAGTGTACTGTGTGCAGCATTGCGTCAGGGTGAAGCTGAGTGAGCGGCACTCACAGACACCACACTCGAGCTTTTCTTTGAGCCCTCGCAGGTGCAGTTCATGTCGCAGTGATTGTGAGTACAAACAGCACTCGCAGAGGCCTTTTCCCCTTCAAATTCCTCCCCACATGGCACCACATGGTAGCACATGGCACCACACGGTAGCACATGGCACCACATGGTAGCACATGGCATGGCACCACACGGTAGCACATGGTACCACATGGTAGCACATGGTACCACATGGTAGCACATGGTACCACATGGTAGCACATGGCACCACGTGGCATGCTCGCCAACTATTCTCCTCCTCCCTTCCCCACCCTTTTCCAACTATTCCACGTGGCAGAAGCTGGGTCATGCACTTGGAATCAAGGACAACGCCGTGGGCATATCCCCATGCTCTCCCCTTCCTTTCCTCCCTTCCCCTAATCCCTGCTCACCCCTTACAACTTTTCCACGTGGCAGAAGCTGGGCCACGCACTGGGAATCGAGGAGAACGCTGTGCGGACGTTTGCAGAGGCAGAGATCCGATCCAGGTGAGATTTGTTCCAGGCGAGATCCGATCCAGGTGAGATTTGTTCCAGGCGAGATCCGATCCAGGTGAGATTTGTTCCAGGCGAGATCCGATCCAGGTGAGATTTGTTCCAGGCGAGATCCGATCCAGGTGAGATTTGTTCCAGGCGAGATCCGATCCAGGTGAGATTTGTTCCAGGCGAGATCCGATCCAGGTGAGATTTGTTCCAGGCGAGATCCGATCCAGGTGAGATTTGTTCCAGGCGAGATCCGATCCAGGTGAGATTTGTTCCAGGCGAGATCCGATCCAGGTGAGATTTGTTCCAGGCGAGATCCGATCCAGGTGAGATTTGTTCCAGGCGAGATCTGATCCAGGTGAGATCCGATCCCAGTGAGATTTGTTCCAGGCGAGATCCGATCCAGGTGAGATCCGATCCAGGCGAGATCCGATCCCGGTGGAAACTACCATCACGTCTCTTGCTGATGCGATTGGTTGTTGCTGCTTGCATTACAAGCCTCGTGAGGTGCCTCAAATTGCTCTCCCTCCTGTGCTCCCCCCTGCCTTATCCCGCCCCTTCTGCCAGTGTGGTCTTTCAGCGAAGCTCACGTCGCTGCTGCTGCTGCTGCAGGCAATGAACCGAATTCGTGTTCGCTGCAAACCCCCTACCCCAGTTAAACCTTTCTTATGCCTCATCTATTTTTCTTTCCAGCGTGGTGTTTCAGTTGGCGAAGCTCACCTCGCTGCTGCTGCGCGTGATGCGATCAGTGTTGGGGGCTGAGGGCTGGGATGTGCTTGTTCCTGGCACTGCTGTGGGCAAGCTCGTAGAGGTGAGGGAGGGCGAGGGTGGATGAAGAAGGGCTTTAAAGTGCACTGCCAGTGAGGGCTACGACATGCTGGGGGCTGAGGGCTGGGACGTGCTTGTTCCTGGCACTGCTGTGGGCAAGCTCGTGGAGGTGAGTGGTGGGTGATACGAGGTGAGGGAGGTTGAGGTGGGGGTACGAGAGGGTAACGGAGGGTAAGGGAGGGTGACGGGAAGGAGGTGCTGCTGGATTATCAAACTCCTAAAACCCTTTTTTTTTTTTTGTTAATACTTCCCCACACTTCTTTCCCTCACGCTGTCCCCTCTCGACATCCCCTTCATCCGCCCTCCCTTGTCTCTGCCTCAGGTGGAGCGCATAGACCCTGACCTCCTGGCAACGCTCAAGGGCGAGCAGGGGGTGGTGCTGCTGGTGATTGTGTTGAGTTTACGTAATAACCGCCTCATCCTCCCTCCGCCCCCTTCCTTTTTCCTTTGCCCCAGGTGGAGCGTATAGATCCTGACCAACTTGCAACTGTGAAGGGCGAGCAGGGTGTGGTGCTGCTGGCGCTCCCTTTTCAGTCAACTAGGGAATCACCAAGATTCTCCCCGTCTTTCCCTCACCCACCCTTCATCTTTGCCTCAGGTGGAGCGCATTGATCCTGACCAACTTGCAACACTCAAGGGCGAGCAGGGTGTGGTGCTGCTGGCGCTCCCTTTAAGTCAACTAGGGAATCACCAAGATTCTCCGCATTTCTCCCTCATTCCCCCCTCACCTTTGCCTCAGGTAGAGCGCATAGATCCCGACCAACTTGCAACTCTCAAGGGCGAGCAGGGGGTGGTGCTGCTGGTGCTGCGCGCAGAGGGAGATGAGGAGGTGAGTGGTGGGGGGTGGTGTGCGGTTGGGGAGGGGAGGGTGAATGGTTGGGAAGAGTGAATGGTTGGGGATCAGGGGGTGGTGCTGCTGGTGCAGCGTGCAGAGGGGGATGAGGAGGTGAGTGGTTGGGAGGGGGTTAGGTGGGGTTAGATGTGAGGGGGTGAGTGGTGGGAATGCTGTGAGCGCTCACTATCTTCGTTCTCAGGTGACTTTTGAGTCGACTCAAAAGTCACCTCGGGTGAGTGGTGGGAATGCTGTGAGCGCTCACTATCTTCGTTCTCAGAGCGAAGCAGTACTCTTTCAAAACACGGATGGCTGGTTGGGATGGGAGGAGAGGGGTGGTTTGCACTCTGTTTCACGCTTTCCCTTCCCCCCTGCCACCCACTCCCCCATTTGCCTCCCCCATTTGCCTCCGACATGCATGCACTGCACACATCTCCAAGCTAGCTCATCTTTCCCATCTCAAACCCCACGATCCATGTCTATGCCCGTGTGAGCGAGCAGGTGAAGGCAGCAGGAGCCAACCTCAAGGCCGTGGTGCTGCTGCAGGAGCTGCCGCACCTCTCCCACTTGGCCGTCAGAGCCAGACAGGTGGGGCTATGCACGATACCTTGTATACTTTATAAGCAATACGCCCTATAAGCTAACTGCAGCTACTGCTGCAGGAGCTGCCGCACCTATCTCACTTTGCTGTCAGAGCCAGACAGATGAGACTATGCACTAAAGACTATTAGAGTGTAATATATAGTACCATGCAATGTATACAGTAGCTGCTTCTGCTGCAGTAGCTGCCACCTCGTTGCTTGTGAAGCAACCCCCCACAACATCTTTCCCCTCGTTTCTCAACAAAACCCTCATCTACACTCCCAATACCCACCGATCCAATGCACCTATCATCCGAGCAGGAGGGTGTGCTTCTCATGACACGCAAGGATGAGAACCTTGACGTTTCATAAGCAGTTCTTCGAAGTGTTAAACATTTACCCTCCCATCCACCCCTCTCCTCCAATGCACCTATCATCCGAGCAGGAGGGTGCGCTTCTCATGACACGCGAGGATGAGGGCTCTCGAGTTCACCTAATGCACCCTTCCATCCATCTTCTCACCTAATGCAACCCCTCTTCCACCCTCTCCTCTCCTCCAATGCACCTATCATCCATGCAGGAGGGTGTGCTGCTCATGACATGTGAGGATGAGAACCGAATCGCTGCCCTTCGCTCCGCTGTTGGCTCTCGAATCCGGTAAATTCCCGCTTACACATGCAATAGAGCAAATTCGTTTTCTTAACGTCCTTTTTCTCTGTTAAACAATGCTTTTGTGCTTAGCCCGTTTCTTAACTGTCCTGCTCTGAGGTGACTCTTCGCTTAACATTCATTTCGTTCTTGCTTTATGTCCAATCCTTCCCTCTCCTTCACTTTCAACCCTTCTCCTCACCTCCATCTCTCGCTCTCAACCCTCCCTCCCACAATCTCTGCAGTCTCGAAGCAGGAGTGGAAGGAGTGAAGGTCATTACAGGAGCTGCTGTCGACCATCACTCCTCGTCCTCCTCCGTGGATTCTGCCGGTAGTGGTAGCAGTAAGAAGAGCGAGGATGAAATGTGGGTGCAGGCACTGAAACCGCAACCTGTAAGTCTAACTACTTTCACTAGAAGCACATCCACTAGAGGCACATCTGCTAGTAACTGCTGCTGTAGCGGCAGTAGCAGTAAGAAGAGCGAGGATGAAGTGTGGGTGCAGGCACTGAACTAAAACCCCAACCTGTAAGTCTACAGTGTTTATTAGTTGACTGCGCTGCATTAACACATAACGAGAAGCATATCCGCTAGAGGCACATCTCCTAGAGGCACATCTCCTAGAGGCACATCTGTTTAATGCACATCCGCTGGAGGCACAACTCCCTGCCAGTTTCGAGTGCAGGATCGCGGCTGTCATGCTGCCGCTGCATAAGGCCGTGTTTTGAGATGTCTCAGAACCCAACCCTGACATCTCATCTCCCCTCTCCCCATTCCTCTCCCCATTCCTCTCCCCATTCCTCTCCCCATTCCTCTCCCCATTCCTCTCCCCATTCCTCTCCCCATTCCTCTCCCCATTCCTCTCCCCATTCCTCTCCCCATTCCTCTCCCCATTCCTCTCCCCATTCCTCTCCCCATTCCTCTCCCCATTCCTCTCCCCATTCCTCTCCCCATTCCTCTCCCCATTCCTCTCCCCATTCCTCTCCCCATTCCTCTCCCCATTCCTCTCCCCATTCCTCTCCCCATTCCTCTCCCCATTCCTCTCCCCATTCCTCTCCCCATTCCTCTCCCCTTCCTCTCCCCGTTCCTCTCCCCCGTTCCTCTCCCCGTTCCTCTCCCCGTCCTCCCCGTTCCTCTCCCCGTTCCTCTCCCCATTCCTCTCCCCTCTCCCCATTCCTCTCCCCGTTCCTCTCCCCGTTCCTCTCCCCGTTCCTCTCCCCGTTCCTCTCCCCGTTCCTCTCCCCGTTCCTCTCCCCGTTCCTCTCCCCCCCGTTCCTCTCCCCTTCCTCTCCCCATTCCTCTCCCCATTCCTCTCCTCCCCATTCCTCTCCTCCCTCCCCATTCCTCTCCCCGTTCCTCTCCCCGTTCCTCTCCCGTTCCTCTCCCGTTCCTCTCCCCGTTCCTCTCCCCGTTCCTCTCCCCCCATTCCTCTCCCCATTCCTCTCCCCATTCCTCTCCCCATTCCTCCCCCATTCCTCTCCCCATTCCTCTCCCCTCCCCTTCCTCTCCCCATTCCTCTCCCCATTCCTCTCCCCATTCCTCTCCCCATTCCTCTCCCCATTCCTCTCCCCATTCTCTCTCCCCATTCCTCTCCCCATTCTCTCCCCATTCCTCTCCCCATTCCTCTCCCCATTCCTCTCCCCCCATTCCTCTCCCCATTCCTCTCCCCATTCCTCTCCCCATTCCTCTCCCCATTCCTCTCCCCATTCCTCTCCCCATTCCTCTCCCCATTCCTCCCCATTCCTCCCCATTCCTCTCCCCATTCCTCTCCCCATTCCTCTCCCCATTCCTCTCCCCATTCCTCTCCCCCCATTCCTCTCCCCATTCCTCTCCCCATTCCTCTCCCCATTCCTCTCCCCATTCCTCTCCCCATTCCTCTCCCCATTCCTCTCCCCATTCCTCTCCCCATTCCTCTCCCATTCCTCTCCCCATTCCTCTCCCCATTCCTCTCCCCATTCCTCTCCCCATTCCTCTCCCCATTCCTCTCCCCATTCCTCTCCCCCCTCTCCCCATTCCTCTCCCCATTCCTCCCCCATTCCTCTCCCTCTCCCCATTCCTCTCCCCATTCCTCTCCCCATTCCTCTCCCCATTCCTCTCCCCATTCCTCTCCCCATTCCTCTCCCCATTCCTCTCCCCATTCCTCTCCCCATTCCTCTCCCCATTCCTCTCCCCATTCCTCTCCCCATTCCTCTCCCCATGTGTCTTGCTGCCCCCCCTCTCCCTGTGTCTCCACTTTAGATCCGAGTGCAGGAGGCGCGGCTGCCAGTGCTGCCACTGCACGAGGCTCAGCTGGCCACGTGTGGCGCCAAGGCCCATGCATGCGCTAAGCTGGAAGAGCTCTCCATTGCCTCCACCTTCGCAGGTACGTTTTGCTCCGGTCCCTTAGCCCATCTCATCTGTGTTTGATCTTGTGTCGCCCCCATTACGGCTGCCAGTGCTGCCGTTGCACGAGGCTCAGCTGGCCACATGTGGCGCCAAGGCGCATGCATGCGCCAAGCTGGAGGAGCTTTCAATTGCCTCTACCTTCGCAGGTACTTGCCTCCCCATTCCCTCCCTTGGTGTATCTCCTCCCTCTGCCAGTCTTGTGCCACTCACATCACACTACCTGTGAGTCCCAGCTGGCCAAGGCACATGCATGTGCCAAGCTGGAGGAGCTTTCAATCGCTTCCACCTTCGCAGGTACTTGCCCTTATAGCCCCTTGGTGTATCTAGTCCCTCTTGGCCCTTCTCATCTCTAGCTCAACCTCGTGTCTCCCCCAGCTGCCCACGTGTGGAGCCAAGGCACATGCATGTGTAAAAATCGAGGAGCTCTCAATCGCCTCCTCCTTCGCAGGTTCTTGCCCCTCCAATCCCTTGGTCCGTCTCATCTCTATGTCCATCTAGTGCCGTCACCCCCCAAATGTATCTGGAACCTCCCCCTTCCGCCACACCACTCCCCCACTGCTTCCAACCACTGCACGCTCATTCTATCCTATTCCCCCACGCTTGTGCTTGGTTTGAAATCCTTCACCCCCCCTCCAGGTGCCGATTTCTCCGTCCCCCGTTCCGTCATGATCACCTTCGGGGTGATGGAAGAGGTCACCGCTTCCAACCCCCGCACACTCATTCAATCCCATTCCCCATGCTGCTACTTGGTTTGAAACCCTCCAGGTGCTGATTTCTCTGTCCCGCGCTCAGCTGTGATCACCTTCGGGGTAATGGAAGAGGCCATCACCGCTTCCAACCGCCGCACACTCTTCCACCGCCTCGTCTCCACCCTCGACGACCCGAACCTGCAAGGAGCCCCCCTCGACGACACCTGCACGCAAATCCGCACGCTCCTAGAGGAATCCCCACTCCCGCCAGCCTTCTTCCGAACCCTCTCGTATATTTTCTCCGCGAACGCTCGCCTTATTGTCCGATCGAGCGCCAATGTGGAAGATTTGGCTGGCATGTCCGGAGCTGGGCTGTACGATTCCGTACCTGACGTCACCCTTTCCGAACCTGCTTCGTTCGGCCGAGCCGTAGCCTCGGTGTGGGCGTCTCTGTTCACGCGGCGCGCGGTGCTGAGCCGGCGGGCGGCGGGCGTGCGTCAGAGCGATGCGGCTATGGCGGTTCTAGTCCAGGAGTTAATCTCCCCTCCGGACCTTAGCTTTGTGCTGCATACTAAGGGGATTGGCACTGGTGCTGGTGGTGCCCTCGTTGTTCCCAGTCCCCGGCTTGCTAACAGCAACAGTGGCAGCAACAGCAGCAGTGGCAGTGGCAGTAATGGGAAAGCCACAGGATCTGTTGCATCTGCATCTGCGAGTGGTGCTGCTCCCGGCTCTCCTGCACCGTCGGATTTCCTCTCCGCTGAGGTGGCACCGGGACTGGGTGAGACTCTGGCGTCCGGCACACGTGGCACTGCGTGGCGCTTTGCTGTTGGGAAATCCGACGGCTCTGTTCGGATCCTGGCGTTTGCGAATTTCAGCGAGAAAATCGTGATGGCACCTGCTGCTGGGGGCGGTTCAGTGGGAAGAAAAGCAGGTGGTGGGTCGGGAGGAGGGGGAGGAGTGGCGGCAGCAGGGGGAGGGGTTGTAATGCAAGCAGTGGATTACAGTGGTCAGCTGCTCTCTACTTCGCCTGATGCTCAGGTGGTGCTTGTTAAGAAGCTTTCTGCTGTTGGGTCGTTTCTGGAGGAACGGTTTGGATCGCCTCAGGACATTGAAGGGTGTGTTGTGGGGGATAAGATCTATGTGGTGCAGTCTCGGCCTCAGCCTTGAGTAGGAGAGGATATTCCTATGTATGGTTTGAACCTGACCGGATTGTTGAGTCGTATAGGGTAGTCTGGCTGGTATGTAACTAGATGAATACCTCAAAAGGATGTGCCCCATTATTTTGTTGATGCTCAGTAGGCTATACAGGCCTGTAGGTGTCCCATGTAAGAGGATCTATATTAATTAGTAAGTGCTTTGGAAGCTAACTGGAAAAGCAGGTGATGTTCTATCGGACATTTGTTTTCGTGGCCCAGAAATCCACACAGAGGATCACGACAACCAATCAAACGGCAGAACGCGTCTCAGCGTACCTCCACGCCGCATCTTCGCGTCACGCATACGATCGATCCCTTGATTCTGGTCTGGCCTGAGCAACTAGCTGGCATCAGCGCGTGCCACCCGATCGCAAAAAGTCGTCACCTTCTGGTATCCAGAATCCATTCGGTACAGTAGGGCTCTGTGTAGGGTAGAGGTTTACTGTGCGTTCTAATACGGTGAACTTGGTTCCTCACAATACCATATGATGATGCTCGATGCGTTGCACCAAAATGGTCGCTTCACTACGGTTTTGAACGGTTTTGTGGCATAAAGAATGTTCAGGTAGGGTCGTGAGAGTTAACGAACCATCGCGGCACACCGTTCAATCACATGATGAAAGCGGAGGTGAAGGAAGGAACAAGTTCGCATATATTCTATTTGGAACAGCTACTTAGCTGCGTGCGTTGCGAGCAGGAGAGAGGAAGAGGAGAGTCGGACGAGATGGCGTCTGCTGCGTTGCAGGGCTCGGCGCTCTCGTTGGCCGTCGAGGTGAGAAACGCGAAGCAGCTGAGCAGTAGAAGATTTCATCGGGGAATATAAGTCGTTTTTGCGATGAGAATTACGGTCATAGCGGTCGCATTCCTTCTGCAGCACCCACAACTCATCCGGTAACATATGGTTTTGAGAAATGGACGTAGTGGCAAACTTTGGTATTGCTGGAAGCATGGAGTAGTAACATCTAGCAGTTTGAACCAGCAGAAGTGGTCGAAGGAGATTGGGTGCTGTGCTTGTATGACAGCCGTCTTGCAAGTAACAGCTGATCTTCGTGTCAGTTACCGAATTCTCGTTAGAACCCCAATATCTCCTTTATTGCCTGACTTGGTATTGCAGGCCTCCCATGTAGTCGCAGTCTCCCCTTCCGCGTCGCTTCGCTCCTCCCCTTCCTCCTCCTCCTGCCACGTATCGTTCCCCGCATCCACAACTACAGCAGCAGTGCGAACGGCAGCATCGCACGTGGAACCCGGACGACTCGCGAATCCGTCAACTCGTATCGCCCGCGAGTGCATCTTCTCCGGCGGACCGAAGACCAGAAAATTACAGCTATCGAATGGCAGCCGGATTCAATGCAATTGTAAGCCACGCTTTCGTGCCATCCTGTTGTGCCTTTTGAGTCCACTCAAAGGTCATCTAGGGACCGAAGACCAGAAAATTACAGCTATCGAATGGCAGCCGGATTCAATGCAGTTGTAAGCCGCCATGTTGTGCCATCCTTTTGAGTCGACGCCGACTTTTGACGCGGAATTCTGCACTAACAGCTGAGTTCAGTGCAGTCGTATCGTAAGCCATCTCTCGCAAAGCGCGCGCTCGCATCCTCCTGCCGTTCATTCTCCATCCACCTTCCATTCCACCTACTTTCGATTCGACTCAAAAGCCTTCGCAAACCGCACGCATCCTTCTTCCGTACGCATTCCCTTCCACCTACCTCCTGCACTTTCCTATCAGCCTTCCTGTTTTCCCCATTTTCCTTACCCTCCCACCCAACCCCCTCCCTCTCCGCGCCCTTCATTCCCATCCTCACCCCTCCCACCAGTGACGCCCCCTATAGTCACATCCGCTGCGTCTTCCGCTGCAGCGGCAGCCATGGCAGCTGGGGGCAGCTCCGCTGTGACTATAGCGAGCAGCTGGTTCACGCTCTGCACGGCTGCCGTCATCCCCCTTTACACGCTCATGATCTTCGCGCCAGACTGGCACGTGGTACGCGTTTTAATACCAACTCGTTATAGGCAACCCCTTTTTAGGCGTCTAAAAAATCGGCACGGCTGCTGTCATCCCTCTTTCTACTCTCAGTATCTTCGCGCCAAAATGGGACGTGGTTTCTGTGTGTGTGTGTCACATGTTCTTAAAACCCGGTATAGTCATCCCTTGCATGCGTCACATGCTGCTGCTCGCACTCCACACTACCCCACCCCTCACCACACCACCCCACCCCTCACCTCACCGCACCACACCACCGCACGCCACCCCACCCCTCCCCACACCAAAATACAACAGACGGAGAGGATCATGAGCAGCTCGCTGCCGAGCATTCTCCTGGGCTTCGTGTACCTCTACCTGCTCTACAAGTCGTGGACGCCTTTTCAGTCGCCCCTCAAAAGACACCACCCCACCCCAACCCACCCCACCCAACTCCTCCCCCACCCCGCGCCGCACACCCCACACCGCACTTAACCACACTAAACCAGACGGAGAGGATCATGAGCAGCTCGCTGCCGAGCATTCTCCTGGGCTTCGTGTACCTCTACCTGCTCTACAAGTCATGGACGCCCAACACGCTGCTCTACATGTTCTCCTCCAAATACTGGCTGCCCGAGGTACGTCTTTACCCACCCTTGCCACATGCCCCACACGCCGCACACGCACCACACGCCCAACACGCTGCTCTATGTGTTCTCCTCCAAACACTGGCTGCTGGAGGTGCGTCTTTCTTATCATTATTGCTTTTTCTGGGGGTGAGGAGGGAGGGGAGTTGAGAGGGGAGCGGAGAGGGGAGGGGAGGAGAGAGGAGGGGGCGGGGCAATGGTGGTGGGTGTTAGATGCGCTGCCTGCCTACTTGCGTGCAACCAACAACGTAATGTGCCTCTGTTCTCCCCGTGCTCTCCCACCACCAGCTAGCGGGCATCACTCAGATGTTTTCCAGCACTATCTCTGTCGCCTCTTCATGAATCCATCACTCACAGTCCCCCCATTTCACTTTCCCTTTCTCTCTCTTCCGCCCATCAATCCCCTCTGCACTCACCGACCAGCTGGCGGGCATCACTCAGATGTTTTCCAGCACTCTCTCTGTCGCCTCTGCTTGGATCCCACATCATCCACCCGCCCCTTATCCCCCCACCACAACCCACCCCCCCCCCTCCCCCCTCCCTCTGCTCTCACCTACCAGCTAGCGGGCATCACGCAAATGTTTTCCAGCACTCTCACTGTCGCCTCTGCCTGGATCCATCTGCTGGCAGTTGATCTCTTTGCCGCCAGGTGAGCTGTCAGGTGGTTTGTCAGGTGAGCTGCCAGGTGGTTTGTCAGGTCAGGTGTCAGGTGAGCTGTCAGGTGGTCATTCTGTCAGGTGGTTTGTCCTGTGAACAGCCAGGTAAGCTGTTAGATGAGATACCAGAAGGTTCATGAGGCTCTGTAGAACGAGAACGAGGCGAGAGGTGTGTTCCCAGGAGGTTGTCAGGCTCAATATATTCTCTCCATCAGGTGATTTCTCAGGAGGTACTTGTCGGGAAAGCATCCACAGCTATTCAGACAGGCATTGCAACCCGTACACACAACAAGACGTGTAGCTTCCCCCCTCCTTACAGCCACAAGTCTCTGGATTGTTTAAAGCAGAAGCTGATGATGTAGATTGTTTTTTAGAATTCTCAAAAACAATCTACAAGCTCCTGGATTGTTTGAAGCAGAAGCTGGTTTCTGAGACGTCTCAGAAGTCACTTCCTTCCCTTTTTCCTCTCGTTTCACGCTTCACACCCCACCCAACCCCCCTTCATTTATAGGTACGTGTATCTGGACGGACTAAAGCAGAAGCTGGAGACTCGCCACTCACTCGTGCTCTGCCTCATGTCACGCCCCTCATCCTCCTGTCTCCCCACTTTCCTCTTCCCCACAGGCACGTGTATCTGGACGGACTAAAGCAGAAGCTGGAGACTCGCCACTCGCTCGTGCTCTGCCTCATGTTCGGCCCTCTAGGCATCGCCGCTCATTCCCTCCCTCCGTTGCCCTCCCGCCTCTCTCCTTCCCTCCTCCCTTCGCCCTTCCCTTGCAGGCATGTGTATTTGGACGGACTGAAGCAGAAGCTAGAGACACGCCATTCACTCGTGCTCTGCCTCATGTTCGGCCCTCTAGGCATCGCCGCTCATTCCCTCACCAAAACTATCGCCCAGGTTAGTTCCCTTTAGATATCCTAGATGCCTTGTCTCATTCCCTCACCAATACCAACACTCAGGATAATTCCCCGATGTTACATTCTAATCATTACCTTCTGTCCATCCAATCCGTTACTTGATCCACTTTTTCCCCCCACAATCCCCTCTTCCCCTCTCTCTCCCCACCCTCCCTCGTTCACCACCATCTCTCTCGAGCATTTCTAAAATTCACAACCCCTCACCCCCACTCCCTGCTCTCCCCCTCCTTCGTCACCACCACCATCTCTCCTCGCGATCAGATCTTTCGCCGCTCGAGGAGAAGCCGCAACTCATCGCGGCCTGTACAGGACATCCCCTCGCCTCCGTGAAGCTGGTGAACCTCCCTGTTGAGACCCTTTACTCGGGATTACTAGATAATTGCAAGGCACTGCATGGGATGAGAAACATGGCCATCTGTAAATCCAGCATGTATGGAGGGAGGTTCAGAGTGGTTGGGAAAAAGTACAGTTCGTGTTATGCATCCCCAAAATGGCTTCACTTTCATGTATAATGTCATCCAAATTCAAAATACCTTACCTAAAGCACTGAAGGCGTTATAAGTTCCCTGTCTGTACCAGGGGCACAGGAGGAAGGTTGCTGCAAGACTTTCTTACCGTAACAGTTTGCACTTTCAACAAGCCTTTATGCTACCAATCATACGGTATGTACGGTACAAATTGAAATTTGAATACAATACAACCCACCCAGCCCACACACGCGCAGCACCAGAGGCTAACGCGAGAGCCAAAGCACATTGCATCGGGCAGAAACAAAATCACATGTTCACAGACCACAACGCCGTGCTACAAACAACCTAGTTTTAAGACGTCTAAATACCAGATGTACTACTGTACCTTGCCTTTTGCAAACCAGAATCTAGTGCAGGCCCTCAGATATCAGGATAATCCTCGATTGCTATTCAAAAAATATATATATATATATATATATATATATATATATATATATATATATCCTGATTACCCTGATTTCAGGATAGAGTTGGGGTGCCAGTGCTGGAAAATCAGGATAACATAAAATACAGCCCTGAACTTTCAGTATTAGGCTGTATCCTACACTGAGGAATTAAGATAAAGGTGTACCTGTAACACTGAACAGTAGCACAGAAATGTCTTATAACAAGAAAATCCCGTTTGTTCACACAGTCCGCTATGCGCGACGCAAGCGGGAATTGATCTCCATACTTCCACTGTGACAATTCGCAGATTCAAACAACTAGGCCATGACCGAGCTGCACGGGAAACCGTGCTGATATTTCCTTTCTTAATCATGAAACTTAATTTAGCCCTGAAAAATCAGGGAAACCATTACATCCAGCGCTGAAGCCTCAGGATAAAGTTTTATATTTTAGGATACAGCCCTGATAGGTCAGGGTACCCTGAAACCAATCTGAGGCCCTGATCTAGTGCTACTGCAACATCCCACAACATGGAGCATAGTGGCGACAGCCGCTGCAACATCTCACTTCTCTGCCATGGCTCCTCATTAGCATCGCCTCGCTTCTCTGCCATGGCTCCTCATTAGCATCGCCTCAACTCTCTGCCATGGCTCCCACCTGAGTAGCGTTGCCTCGCTTCTCTGTCCCGAGAAGAGGACAGAGGCAGCGATGGTCATGACAACACGTCCAGGTTCGGCGAATCAAGCAAGCCCTCCTGCAGCAGCGGTCGTATTGCAGGTCCAGGTTCCGAGAATCTGGTCAAGCAGCAGCAGGAGCAGTGCTGGCGACGCAGGTTCGTTGAATCAGGTCGCACTTTCAAAGAATGGGGAGCTGGGAAGGAGGGACCTACTCACTTCCGTCAGGTTCAGCGAACCTGGTCAACCAGCGGCTGTGGTGGTGACGCAGGTTCGTTGAATCGGGTCGTAGTTCTGCTGGATCAGAAACTTGGTCCCACCCAGCCCTTCCAGTTTATACGCTGCAGCATCTGATGTGTATGATAGAGTACCGGTCCTGTTGGGTTCGTGGGAGACACATGGAAATCGGGGGAAAAGCGAGAACTACGTTGGTAGTGGTTTAAAGACACCAATGTAGTGGTCACACTCTTCACACACCACCCTCCCCACCAACTCTCCCACCCACCCACCACTCACATCCAGGCGCATATGTCGGCGTTCTCCTGGCCATCGTCGTCGTACCAATTCCGCACGTATGGGTCACTCGTTGCCTCTGCGAGCTCATGGGCAAAGGTGGAGAGCAGCGAGTCGAAGGGCTTATCGCTGTTGGGACTGTCGTTGAGCGCGAATGCAGCGAGCCAGCAGCTGCTGGGACACTGGGGGGATATGGGGCATAAAAAAAGCGGGTTGGGAGGGGTAGGGGTCACTGGTCGTCTCTGCGAGCTCGTGAGCGCAGGTGGAGAGCAGCGAGTCAAAAAGGCGATCCCACCAGCTGCTGGGGCACTGGGGGAATGAGGCAGAGGGGAGGCAGCGGAGGTTAGCGGGGAAAGGGGGGTTGCTTTGGGGGCAGGGAGGGAATGATTGTGTAACAAGTGAACCCTCTCTAACGATTGAACCCACTCTTACCACTCTCAACCGCACAACACACCTTGACAGGGCTGCCCACATAAGCCACTTTAATGAGCTTCTTCCGAATCCGCACAAAGTCATGCCACCCGCAGTATGCGCTGCACATGGCTCCCCCGCTCTCCCGCTGTTGGGGGAGGGGCAGAGGAGAGACGAAAAAAAGGAAACCGAGAGGCGTGAGAGGCGTGAGAGCGGGGTGGGGAGGCCACTCAGGTGAGCACCCACAGTATGCGCTGCACATGGCTCCCCCGCTCTCCCGCTGTTGGGGGAGGGGCACAGGAGAGACGTAAAAGGGCGGATCGACTTGAGCCCAAACAGCAGGTACTATCTATAAGCACCGCAACCACCACCACCGCACCCCACCGCTACGCACCTGAGCCACGCTCCCATCACCGATCACAAAGTACACCCCATCCTCGTATAGAGGTAACGTGCCGCCTTTCACCCTCTTGGTCACAAGGCACCTTTCCATAACCGCGATGCTCCCACCACCGCACCGCACCGCACCGCGACGCAACTCACCTGAGCCACGCTCCCATCGCCAATCACAAAGTAAACCCCATCCTCGTCAAGGGGGAGTGTGCCGCCTTTCACCCTCTTGTTCACAAGGCACCTTTCCATAACTGTGATGCTCCCCACCACCGCACTGGACCGCACCGCACTGCACCGCAACGCACCTGAGCCACACTCCCATCACCGATAACGAAGTAAACCCCGTCCTCATCCAGGGGTAAAGCGCCGCCCTTCACCCTCTTCTGTATGACCCCGCGAATCGACTTGAGCCCATACAGCAGCCTGAGGGGGCGCCTCACGTGGTGCTCCCTTGCGAGGGTCACAGAGGAGGAGACGTGGCGGCCGGAGCAGTCGTAGTAGAGAGTGTTGGTTCGCCACCAGTCAACGACTGCTTGGGGGAAAGAAGGAGAAAGGGGGAAGGAGGAAGCAATGCGGCAGAGGTGGCCGGCTCCTTCACGTGGTGCTCCTTGGCTAGAGTCACAGAGGAGGAGAGGTGGCGGCCGCTGCAGTCGTAATAAAGGGTGTTGGTCCGCCACCAGTCAGCAACTGCGTGGGGGGGAAGAAGGAGAAAGGGGGAAGGAGGAAGGAATGGAGAGAGACGTGACGTGGCCGGCTGGCTCCTTAACATGATGCTCCTTAGCGAGGGGTAGAGAGGAGAAGACTCAGTGGTCGGAGCAGTCGTAGTAGAGAGTGTTGGTTCGCTACCAGTTAGACACTTCGTGAGGGGGGAGAGGGATGGAGAGGGAAAATGTGTCGTGTGCCATGGTAGCGAGGTGACTTTTGAGTCGACTCAAAAGTCACCTGGGAACGAAGCGCTTCTCCTTTGATTACGTGATGCTCCTTAGCGAGGGGTAGAGAGGAGAAGAAGAAGCAGTGGTCAGAGCAGTTGTGATGGAGAAGTATTGGCGTGCCACCAGACAGTGCGAATAAAAGTGAATCTTGAGTGCGAATTCACAAAAGTGAGAGCCGAGTGCTGATAATACCTTAAAAATTACTCACCTGTGCCTTCTTTACTGCTCAAGGAGCGGATGAAAGTTCGGAGAAGGTTCTTCTGGGTGTCCGAGAAGCTTCCGTACCACACGAGGTAGACGCGGATAGGGTTGTTCATTACCCCGCACCACTTGGGGTCCTTTGCGCAAACATCCTGCCCGCAGAAGGATATTATTTCTGGTCCCACTCCTGACAGGATGACTGGCAATCGGCTGGAGTTTGGGCAGTGGAGAGGAAAGAGAAGACTATTGAGTCGACTCAAAAGTCACCTCGCAGGAGTTTGGGCAGTGGACAGGAAAGAGAAAACTTTACATTTATAAGAGAGGAGTGGCTGGGAAAGGGATGGGGAGGCGGAGTAGCACGAAGGGAGAGTTGGGGCGAAGGCGGAGTGGGGCGAGGGGGAGTGGGGCGAATAGGGAGGGGGAGGCGGAGAGGGGCACAAAGGGAGTGGGGCAAACGGGGAGGGGGGCGACGGGGGCTAAGGCAGGTGAAGCGTACCTGGGAGAGTGAGTGGCAGTGGGAGCAACATTGCCGGGCCTGATGGTTGGATTGGAGGTGATGGGTTGCTGAGTTCCGGCTTGAATCACTCTCCTTGAACGCTCAGCGCTGCTGGTGCTGCTTCTGCCGCCCATGCGTCCAAGGGGTGGGTGTACTGAACTGGCTTGCACCACTCTCCTTGAACGCTCAAAACTGTTGTTGTTGCTGTTGTTGCTGGTGCTGCGGTTGTTGCTGGTGCTGCGGTTGTTGCTGGTGCTGCGGTTGTTGCTGGTGCTGCTGGTGCTGCTGGTGCTGCTGGTGCTGCCCGGGCGAGTGGCAGGGGGAGCAATGTTGCCGGGCCTGAGTCTGACAGTGGTTGGAATGGAGGTAATGGGCTGCTTAACCCCAGCTTGAATCACTCTCCTTGAATTCAGCGCTGCTGTTGTTGCTAGTGCTGCTTCCAATGCTGCTCAGGCGAGTGGCAGGGGGAGCAATGTTGCCGGGCCTGAGGCTAAGTCTGGCGGTGGTTGGATCGGAGGTGATGGGCTGCTCAACCCCGGCTTGAATCACTTTCCTCGAACGCTCAGCGCTGCTGTTGTTGCTTCTAATGCCTCTGCCGCTGATGCTTCTAAGAGGGGGGGATATTGAAATGACTCTTGTTTTGAAAGGCGGGGTTATTGAAATGACGCTTGTTTCAAGAGGTGCGGATATTGAATCGACGCTGCTTCTAAGAGTGCGGTTTAGGGGCGAAGCCTTTGAACCCAGGTTGATGGCAGCACGTATGGTGCGTGCGATGCTGCGGCCAGAAAGGTAT